GTGTTAAGGGCCACAACTTTTGCCTTTCTCAATCTCTTACACAAATAGTCAACTTTCTAACTTGCTTTCCAGACAATCCAAATCATTTACCTTCTCTACTCGACTTGTGTCTTGTTTCTGATCCTAGTCAGTGCTTAGTTTCTTCACATTGATCACGATTTGATTTCTTTAAAACTATTATCTCAATGGCCCTTGTGTAGAAATCTTTCGTTTTCCGGCTGATAAATGGAATTTTTTATTTCCTCTCAATGATTTCTTCTCCATGGTTTTCCTCTCATGTGCTGCAATTTCCAATTGTAACCATTACTTCCATATCTATCACTAAAACAATTTTCCAGAAATCAGACATCTGTTTACTATTGTTAGAAGCCATTGTAAAAAGGTTTTGTCTAATTCTAAAGCTGGCTATTCTCAGGTTATAAAATCTTGTATTTCATCTCAAAAATAAGGCTCCTGAGATTTCTAGAGAATCTTTAATAGTGTCTATAATACTTTTAAAATACTTATAAACATTTTATAAAAAATAATTACAACTTCCAAAATATAATTCGCTGAAGCAAATTTACTAAACTTTCTTTTTTATATATAAATATAAAAGTTTGCTGGAAAAGATCACTGAAATTTTGCTGGAAAGATTTACTGGAAGTTCAAGAACAACTTCACTTAAAGGTTGCTGGAAAAAGTCACTGGAAGATCGCTGGGTTTGGAACATTTTTTTTACTGAAAGTTTACTAGGTTTTTAGTAAGGGAGTTCTTAAAAAAAATTAAATTTTTTTTCATAGTTATAACTTAAGCTAAAGTTTACAGTCCTAACAATAAATCTTAAGTTTATAAATATTTAAATAATGTTAAAATAAAAAATAATGTTAACTTAAAGTTTATAGATATTTAAATAATGTTAAAATAAAAAATAATGTTAACTTGAATTTAAACTTTTATACTAATGTTAAAAGAATTTTAATAACAATTCACTTGCCAGTGTTAGCCTCAAGCTGCCACCAAAGAGAGAACGAATTTTAGTAGATGGCTAGTTCTGAGGTGCTAGCTCTTTAGAGCAGTGCCCATTATAATATTTATAGAAAAGAGAAATAGAAGCAACATTATGATGATTTGACAATGGTTGAAGGTTGGCTGCAGGAGCAGGTTCAACTATGTTTATAATACGTTTATTCACTTTCTCTAATATAGAAAGGGCATCATTCGAAAATCTGCTCTAGATATGGCAACAGTATTCCTTATGAGGATAGATTTAAAATTTGTAGAGATAAAGAATAGAATCCAGAGTATGAAAATGGCGAGCAAAATAAACAGACACAGTCTTAGGAGATGCTATTGTATCAATAGATTTGATATATAGTTTCTAAGAAAGATCGAAGTAAGAGTTAGTTCTAGAAGATGAAGGATAAAATACTTATCAAGTACATTACCGTTCATAAATATAGGAAGATCAAGATTGTTTCGATAGCAATTAGCCGAAAACAAATTGAGTTTTATCTGAGTTAAAGTTCACCAGCCACTGAGAGCCCTATGCTGTAGCAGAAGTGAGATCCTTTTCAAGCTCAAATGCCTCCTCCAAGCAATAAGAGACTTTTGGCTTATCAAGACAAGAATAAATGTTATCTATCTATTTGATGAGATTCTACATCAAGTATATGGCTGCATTAAAGTATTCAATGCGAACGATTATCTAAACTGTTGACACCCCTGCATAAAATAAAAGCAACTTGTTGAGTTAGTTTTAAATCTAACACAAAAATAACTTAAAATTATTTTTGTTTATGGTTTTGTTATTGAAAAATGATCACGCTAACTGTTAATAGTCTGTTTTGCTGATACATTATGGCTTTACTTGAAAATGACATTTGTTTAATAAATTTCAAAACTTACCAATTAGAAATTCATACTAATGCTTACCATTTTATTCTTTTATACATTATAAGTCTAAGGTGTTATCTAAAAGGCTTAATGAAAAAATCATTTTTTTTTTGTAGTTTGTTCATCTCCCCAAGATCTTGTTGCTAACATCGGAGTGCATATACAGTCATTAGAAATTAATCCAGATGCTTTTATAAAAGTATGTTTTCGTTCATTTCTTTTATTTTTTTAAGATACTGTTAACACTTTATTTTAGTAAAAAAATAATTAACTAAATTAGAATAATTAACAAAATTAGCAATTATTAACAGAACTTTTGTTATTCTTAGAATATTTTAAAGATACGGCTGACAAGTAAACAAATTTTTAAGCTGAAACAAACAAATACGACTATGAGTAATTCTCGTTACCTTGACAGCACAGATGATCTAATTGGCCAGCCAGTTGTCACTACTAATTTGAGTGAAGTTTCTGATATTATTGATCTTCAGCATGTAATGGTTGCTTGTTTTTTTTTTTAAATTTCAGTAGTGTGTGAGCTTATCACAAATATTTCAATACTTCAACACCTTTTTATTATTTACTGCAGATTAAAGTTGGCATAAAATATTACTGATGACATCATACTGTAATGATCGCACCAGTCATATCTTATGTGAATAAAAGTAAAGTGAGTGTAAATAAATTGTCAGGGTGTGGACAGCTAGTATCTAATAAAAAGGATTTTTTTTCATTTTCTTATTTTTATTTTTTTTATTTTCAAAAGCAATACAAATTCAAATTCTCAGGAAATACTATACTAACTCAGTGTGCAAAACCCAACATTTAGAAATTAAAAAAATTGTAACTTATTTAGTCAAATTAAAACTACAATATATTGGGCTTGGTTGAAAAATCTCTCACATAAAAATTAAACTGATTTCACTGCTATTTTCACTGGTTGATAGATAAAACATTTAGTTATTAAAAATTTAACATATTTCAACTTTGGTTGAAATCTATTGAGTTTTTAAAAACTTAATTTTTTTGTTGTTTTTTTATGAAAAAAAAAAAAACTTTTGAGTTTTAAATAACTCAAAAGTTTTGTTTTTTTAAAGTTACAAATTGAATTTTTTAAATAAAAAGTTTGACTTTTTTTATCTGCTTGATTATTCTAACTGGCTAAGTGTAAACTAAATTTTTTTTAAATATTTCATTTTAAACATAAGTTATTTGGATTTACGTACTTAAGCATAAAAATTTAGATTTAATCTTTCCTTACCAACTGGATCAATCGTTTATACTGGTCTACTACTTCTAATAACTGAATTGAAATAAACAATTCATTTGAAGCATACTGCAGATTCTATTATAAGTTGACATCAATATGATAATTCTTTGAATCGTCAATATGATAATTCTTTAATATCAGGTAGGTAACCAGATACATAAGTTTTTTGTACAATTTTAAAAGTTCTTTTGTGTTACATGTAGAAAGTTTGTTATCATTAATTCTCAAACTTTTTTAAAAATGTTAAATTATAAGTTTATTAAGTATATAAAAGTTTTCATCTTCTAGAAAACCTTTTTTTTATGAAAAAAAACAACAACAATTTTTCAGGCTTTTTTTACTCCTTCTAAAAGAATAACTACGCAACAGTCTACATATGAAATTAAGGTTTCATGTGTAGACTGTTGTTTCATTATTCTACACAACAGTTTTAGTTTATGTAGATTGTTGCATAGTTTGACTACATAATAGTCAAGGTGTTTTTTTTTTCTAAATACTTTTAAAGTAGAAAGTTGATATTTTGCTTATCTAACTTTTATTATGAACAACTTTTTTTTGACATTGTTGTTTTGTACACACTCTGGGATTTGTAATACCAAAGGTATAAAATGAAAAAAATAAGTTGTTGTTTTGATGCGATAGCTTTTCAAAGCGCCATGGTTCACATTTTTTTCAACACTATACTGTACATTGTTAAAATACCTTATAAGATCCAATTCTACATGGCTTTACCAGCAACTGAATAATTTATTTGAATAATTTTAAAAAACATTTATGAAAGTAATAAAAATTTATATAATAATGTATTATGAAAGTATTATCATTGAATCAAAATCAAGTAAAAATTATTTTAACAAGTTTCATTAAAAATATTAAACAGTGTAATGTTTCAATATATTATTTACTTGTTATTTTTTTTATAAACATAATAAAAAATTTTCTTTTTTGAAGGTCAGACTCTGACCTTCAAACCTTTTTCTGTCTCTGGTGTCCAGGAGTTCTAAAAATGTTGAACGACTTATGATCTGCAATAAGTAAAAAATGTTTATGAGATTTATGAATTGGAACCAATTGTTTTTTAGCTCAGAATCTTTGCCGCCATTATACATAAGGATTCAAAATTTGATTGTTCCTTTAATCTAAAAATCTAAATTTTTTTTTCATAAAGTTTTTCTCACTTTTGGAGTTTCTTGATAATAAAAACTAGGAAGAAATAATGATTTTGTGACTTTCATATCCGTTTTTTTTTTTTGGACTCATCCCTGTTTAAAAAAAAACAGTTAAAAAAAATACCATAAAGTTCCAACTTTAGAACTTAATTTAAAGTTAATTTGTTTACAATTACAACATTTTTTTTTAGTTAATTTATATTATGAAACACGCCCTTCTTCTGATTAAAACAAAACTTATTTAAATAACTACTTCGTCAGTATTAACTACTCTGCATTATTAAAACTTTTTTAAATATATTGATTTATATAAAGTAATTATAATAATGATTTTGTTCCATTTTTTTAAATTATTAACATTATACTTATATGGTCAAAAAAAAACCATTAGGAAATAATTAAATAAATATTCTTCTATAAAAAAAATTACCTTTAAAGAAATGATAAAATAAGTTCTTTTATAAAAAACTTTAATAAACAACTAGTTTAATAAACAACACATTTTTATGTCTTTATTATGATTATGATATTATTAGATTCTTTAGTTTTTTAAAGTTTTTTTTATCTTCAAAAGTTTCTAAAAAATATTTATAAAAAAAAACATTGTTCAGTTAACACCAACATGAATTTAAGAAAAAAAACATTGTTTAGTTAACACCAACATGAATTTAAGAAAAAAAACATTATTTAGTTAACACCAACATGAATTTAAGAAGAAAAAAACATTGTTTAGTTAACACCAACATGAATTTAAGAATAAGCGGTAAAGAAGTTAAAGATGTGAACATTTGCTTAAAAAAAAAGTTTCATATTAAAATAACTATATTATTAAAACTCTTTTCTATTTTATTGGACTTTTTCGTAATTTTGACAAGTACTTCAATCTATTTAATTATTTTTTTAATTTATTTTATACCTGCTTTAAATGAAACTTTAAATTTCAAAATTGTTTTGTTCACCAGACTAGTTTTTTAAAAATATGATTTCTTATATATACATATAGTTAATAACTTCATGCACTCCATATGTTTTGCACCAAAAAAAAAAGCTTTTATTTCTTCATGTTGATTTCAAGTAAAGCCTCATCTTCATGTTGAGTCTAGAGACTTTTATTCTCTAGAGAGTTCTCTAGAGAATAAAAATCTTTTTATTATTGCAAGAATTTAATGCAAAAGTAGCATGACAACTAAGCTTCATTACTCCATTAAAGCTAGATTACTCTCAATATATCTCATACTTTATCTCAGAAGTTAGGTTCAAGAAATTTTTTAGAAAATCTTTAAACAGGTTAATCTGAGATTATTAAACTGTTAGACATCCAAATCACTCTGGCTTACATTGCTGAAGTTATTTCTCTCTTAATCTCTTTGATAGCTTGTGATCCAGACAACATTTGTATTAGTCTTTAGTTAATTCTTTAGTTCATTAGTATTTTATTTGTTGTTTTTATTTTTTACTACTCATTCATTACTCCTCATTACTCTCAAAACTATTCAACAACTGAATCTCATTTTCCATTCTGCTGGAAAATGGCATCTGTGATTTTAATTTTTAAAAACTCTTGAAAACACTCTGACCCCTCAGACTGATTGAAAGTTATTTGCTGAGAAAATCCCTGAAAAAAAGTCATCATTTTTGGTAGCTTAAAACAGCTGATCGAGTATCTTAACTCAGTAGTTTACTGCAATTATCATTCACTATTGACCTCCCATGGAAACCATGAATACAATTCATTACAAAGTTGCTAAAGTTGCTTCTCTTTATCATACTCACCATTTCTTTACTCATAGTTGCATTCTCTAATCCTACATATCTTTTGTTTGTCCCTGTATGTAATACTGGTGTCATATTTGGGCTATTTTTTTTACGATACCTTTCTCTTCTGAACAAGGTTATATATATATATATATATATATATATATATATATATATATATATATATATATATATATATATATATATATATATAACATATATATATATAACCTTGTTCAGAAGAGAAAGGTATCGTAAAAAAAATAGCCCAAATATGACACCAGTATTACATACTGGGTTACTGTTTATATATATATATATATATATATAAACAGTAATATAATAGTTTATATAATATATATATATATATATATATATAATATATATATATATATATATATATATATATATATATATATATATATATATATATATATATATATATATATATATATATATATATATATATATATATATATATATATATATAAACTATTATATTACTGTTTATATATATATATATATATATATATATATATATATATATATATATATATATAAACAGTAACCCTGTATGTAATACTGGTGTCATATATATATATGAGTTACTGTTTGGGGTGACTTTTCAGAAAAAGAAAAAAAATATATAAAAGATAAAGAAATAAGAATAACAATTTTTTTTTTTTTTTTTTTCTTTAGTCTTTTATATGTAAATGCTGGTCATCATTTTTATTATTCTGAATATATTAATGACAAACAATTCTTACCTTTGCACACTTTAGTGTACACTGTCTATATTGTGCACACTTGAAGTTTTAAAATGCCAAACTTAAACTGACAAGTTTTTATTTTAAAGATTTCGCATTGCTTTTGCAATTTAACAGCATGAATTATATATATATATATATATATATATATATATATATATATATATATATATATATATATATATATATATATATATATATATATATATATATAGTGAGAGAGAGAGAGAGATTATGACTACTAATTTTTTTTATAAAGAATACAAATAAGTAAAGTTTATAAAAATCTGTATATTTTTGCAAATGGTTTTTTTGAAGAAAAAACAACCTGTTTAAACAATTTTATTTTTTGATAAGTTTTCGTTAGTTTTTTTTAATTTTAGTGGCAAATTGTGTGCAGTTGGTTGCCATTACGATTACAAGTTAAAAAACCTTATTTGTTGTTTACAACTAATAATGATGGCTACAAGTAAGTTTATAAATTTTTTGAATTTGAGAAAGTTTAGTAGAACTGATTTCTGGATTTATAATTAGTCTTACAATTGAGTAAGCTTTGTCTATTTTAATTCACTTCTCTGAATTTTAAACAGATTCTTCTAAAATGGCTGGAAAATTAGATTCCTCATTAACTTATTAGCGAAATGTCAGCACAGATCATTAATATGTTAATTGATAAATATTATTTAGAAGAGTTTTTTCTTTTTATTTAAATTAGATGAAAACAATATTAATAACATAGATAAGAGCAAATGACCAGAGAAAGCAAACCTTTTTGTAACAAAAAGTAGTAAAAAAAGGTCTCTAAGCAGTTTTTAAAATTAATCTATTAAACTTATTTTTTATAGCTGAAAGTGAAATAAATCAAAGCAAGAATAACTACATACATCAAAAGAAATACAAAAGATTTAAGCTAACAGTGTTATACCACATCATACATGTAATGAAATAAAATAATATAAATATGTATTAAAATAAATGTATTAAAATAATATATAAATATGTAATAAAATAAATTAATATAAACAAGCAGCATAAACTTAGTTGTGTACTAACCCATACATTCTGTTAATATTATTTTGGTTAGCTTATCATAAGAAAAAATATTTAATATATTTAATGCTTTGTTTTTGTTTGAAAATATTGGATAAAGTCTCCTAATTCTTCTGGTTTTGAGACTTTCTAACCTTAAGCCTAATAAACATTTTTCATAAGACTTGTGCTTGAGATCTGGTACAAGCTTCGTGGCTCTTTGCTGAACTTCTTCAAATTTTTATATCATTTTTTAAATGTGGATTCCAAACTGGTTAGGTCTAGTTGTATATAGTTAGTAAATGAGACAATGAACCAGAATTTAATGTCTGCTTCAATCTACCTAGTATTGAGTAAGCTTTATTGGTTACATTATTGATGTGGTCTTTCCATTTCAGATTATTACTAATGTTGATACCTAGGTCCTGTTCCTGTGTCGTTTCATTTAACTTGATGATTGTTCCATTGTGGGTAGTTATATATAGTGGGGTACCTTGATTTATTTTATCAATTATTTCTTTTGATTTGGTACTGTAAACTTTCATAACTTTGCATTTTTCCTAATTGAATTTCATGCTCCAATTTCTTGTTCATGAACTAGTTTATTGAGATTATTTAAATTACAGCAATTAACTTACTGTTATCTGCAAATAGCTTGCAGGTACTGTGAATTAGTTCAAACATGTCACTAATAACTAGATTGAATTGATGTGGTGATAAAACTTTGCCTTTTTTAAATCATAAACTACTGATTGCTTAAGTTTTTACTTAAGCAATCAGTAGTTTATGATTTACTGTATCAAATGCTTTAGCGAAGTCAAGGTAAACCACTAAAGATAAAGTCCACTGTTTAAAGCATTGGTTATCACATCTATTGATTCAAGTAAATTTGTGATTACTGATTTACCTGTAGTAAATCCATGTTGTCCTTTATTAATTGTAAGTAGTTATGTAAATTTAAGTAGTAGTAAATTAAATGTCATCTTTAAATAGTTTTTGCATTACTTTACTATTAACCAATGATGACAAAATAGGTAGATAATTAGATAGATTGTTTTGTTTTTTTCCTTTATTTGGAATTGATGTGCTGTTTATTTTTTTTTCATAGTTGTGGGATAGTCCTAGTGTTGAATGCTTTGATGAATAGTAAACTAAGTAGTAGGTTAAGAGCAGAACTGCAGTTTTATAAAATATAAAGAAGATTGTGATTGAATTTTGTTTTGTTTTGACATCTTATGGTGAAAAGATAAAAGGTGGGTTCAAAGTAAATTTTTTATTTCTTTTTGGTGATAAACCTCTTATTCATTTTCTTGATCAGTTGATTTGCTAAATGATTCCTAAAATTATTTATTTAGACAATTAGCCGTGTTTACGTTTGTTGTTAAGTTAATGTTGTCAGCATTAATTTTTCATGTTTAAACTGGGCATTTTTTTACTAATTTTTTAATTCTCTTGATTTTCTATTGCATTTGGTTGAAAGAGTTTTTTTATAATCAGATGATTTAAAGCTGATTTCACAAAAAAATTATTATTTTTTGATTGGCTGCTTTTTTGATATCATTACTTTTTGATTGGCTGCTTTTTTGATATCATTATTTTTTGATTAGCTGCTTTTTTGATATCATTATTTTTTGATTAGCTGCTTTTTTAATATCATTATTTTTTGATTGGCTGCTTTTTTGATATCATTATTTTTTGATTAGCTGCTTTTTTGATATCATTATTTATTGATTAGCTGCTTTGTGACATTTGATAGAATTATTTATTTATTTTATTAATATTGGTACAGACTTTTGGTATATGAATTTCAATAAAATTTTTAAAAGTTTTTATTAAATCATTTCATTTATATCTTGATTATTGAAAAGTTTGAACCAGTCTATCATATCTTTTATGTCTTGATTATCAAATAGTTTGAACTAGTCTATCATTTCATTTATGTTTTAATTATTAAATAGTTTGAACCAGAGTGAAAGCAGTTTTTTGTTTTTTTTTGGACCAAAATATTGAATCATTAATTTTAATTGTATAGATCTTGTTCGGGTCATTTGTAATAAAAAATCAACTATGTTCTTGTGTAGAGTTGGTTCTAACACTGATTGTACTAAGAAATTTGGATTGAGAGTGTCTAGAAGTGCTATGCTAGATTGACATGAACAGTTTGATCCTCCAATAATATTCCATAATATGTCAGAATAGTTGAAATCACTTGTTATTAAGAGACTTGAAAAGCCTTTTGAGTTAACGAATTAGGGAGCTGTTATGGGTTTGTTAATTGCCATATTTACTTGATAATCTTAATGTGGAGGGCTGTAGATGCAGCCGATAAGGATAAGTTCTGCTTTAGTTTTAAACTTCACACCAGACATATTCAATTATAGAACTATTTATTTGTTCAAAGTTTATCTAATGATGAAATGCCTTTTCTTATGTAAATTACAACACCACCTTTTTTACTAGTTTGATTTTTATTGTAATAAGTATAGTTAAGCAAGAAAATAACAGATTTTTCATAAAAACAGGGTACAGTTTTATATACAATAGTGGTTGGTTTTGTTCACACAGCATTAATTGAATTTCAGCCCCTTTGTTATTTTGTGAAGTTGTATTTGAATTGAAGCAGTTTAATTTGTTTAAAGGTTGAATTTCTGAATTAAGTAAGGTTTATGGATTCCCCAATAGTATTTTTTTCTGTTGGGTTTATTGTAATGTTGCCTCCCATTTGTCCCAAGAACTGCATTGTGTCTTTGCATTTTTGATTTTTCTTAATTAAATGTCAAATAGTTTTTTCAGTTCTTGTATATCATTTTTGAAGATATTGATTTCTTTTAATTTTATTGAATTGTTAATTAGTAACTTTTGATAAATCAACATAAAAGTAATAATTTAAATGTTTTGTTTTAAATAATTTAAAACTTTTGATAATAATATTATTATATAGTAATAATACATTTTTATAGTGCAATACAATATACAAGCTGTCCGGACCTATAAAATACGAGTCATTCTAGGTCTGTTCAACACTGACTATTTTTATGCTTATTATTTTATTTTATATTATACTCTTTAATTCAATATCTCGTAAAACGCAGTAGTTAAAGTAACATAGTTAAAGTGACATAAACAACAATCAAATAGAACTTGGAACAGCAATTATTGAACATAACTTTGGTATCCAATCAACAAACGACCTAAAGGTTAAGCATCAAGTAGAAGCTAGATCAAATCAAGTACTTGGCAGGCTAAAAAAATTATTTCGCACTAGGAGGATAATGTTTGGAGAGTACTCTACACAACATACATTAGACCTCATCTTAAGTATGCTATGTAGCAAACGCAGTCAAATGCAAATTTAACTTACATTTTTAAAGGTCAATTTGACGCACTTTCAAAGCTAACCAAGACCCTGTGTCTCGAATTATGTCATCATAGTGGTGCCTGGTGCTGCACTCACCTCATCAGAGTTTATAGCTTAAACTTTATTTTTATATGTTTGGCTAGTTGAATTTTGATTTATGAATAAACAAATTCAAATTCTTCTTTTCAACACAATTTATTTAAATACAAAACAATACAAATTCTTATTTATAAAAAGAACAAAAAATGTTTTTTCAAAACAAAACATATAGTAAAACAATTTTTTTTTACAAATACTATATATATAAATTCGAGGGAACCTTTTTAAGCCCCTAATAACCCCTAATTAAGTCTTAGATATATGCTGAAAAAAAAAAGCATTTTATGATAAACCTAAAATGAAAAAAAAAATAGTTATAATATGATAAATTAAGTAAAAACATCACATTTATACACTATAAATCAATATACCTGTTGTTGATGCTGTTGCTGCCATTTTTACTGCTGTTTTTATAAAAAATATAAACAATAATCTGAAAAAGCATTTTATAATAAACCTAAAATGAAAAAAAAAATAGTTATAATATGATAAATTAAGTAAAAATATCACATATATACACTATAAATCAATATACCAAAAAAGTTGCAAATACATCCCTACACCGTTAGTTATGTTATTTAACGTTTTCCCAAACAAATTCGATCCAGCGCAAATCTAGTAATGGAGGAAGCAAGGTTTTTCAAGATATAAGTCTCATTAGAAAACTGGCTAACAGTTTTATTAGTAATCCCAGCCTCTCAATATAGGAACGCACAAAAAAGTAAGGATTTTCTTAAAGTTTTCTTGTAAAAGTTCGAAATAACCTCTTACTATGGGAACGCTGTTTTGTTGTAAAAATAAACATGTTTTTCAAGCTTTCAAATCACAAAAAGTGTCTGCCCTTTCTGTAATTAAAAAGCTGAAAAAAGGTTTTATGACAATTATGTTTCTAAAAATTTCTGAATTATTGAAGGTGATGAAATCTTTATGAAGTACGATTATCTGCAAAATTCTAGTGCTATCTATTATAATACGCAAAATATGATAAGCTTCTTTAAAAATCCTTGATTTGGCAGGCTGTTTGCAGGTACGACAAAAAATTAGCACCCATATTTTTGAGCCCTCACATTCTGGTAAAATATATGTTAAAGAGTCTTTAAAAATACGTTTTTTACCTCTTACTAAATCACATAATAGTAGACATGTTCTGGCCTAATTTATCATCAAGTCATTATAGCAAACTGGCTTGGGATGATTTAAACAAAATGACATGAAAGCTGTGTCTAAAATAGCAAATCCTCCGAACTGCTTATAATTACAAATTATTGCAAAATACTCTGGGTAATTTTTAAGCACAATGAAAAAAAAAAACTAAAGAAATGTTAAAGATTTTAAAATGTCATTTAAAAAGCATCAAATAGTTTTGATTGTTGTTCTGTGCGCAAGCTTATAAGTACCATCGTAACAAAAGTTCAAAATTTTATTAGATGCCCACAGGAATAAATTAATTTCTTTGAAATATTTTATCTTCTTATACTAATGTATTAAACTTAATACTTAGTTCTAAATAAATGTTGATGAGTACCTTTTCTTAGTTGTTTTTCTACTTTCGCACTTATTTCATGTACACGCTTTATTAGTACTTACTGACCATTTTCATCATTGTTTAAAACATTTACAAAAAAGTTGGTTTAGCTTAAACCTTAATGTAATGAAGAAGATTAAAGTAATTTATTACCTTTCTTTATTTTATGTTTTGAAAAAAAAAATAAGGTCAAATTATCATATAATAAATACAATTAAGTCTAAATACAGATTAAGCAGATACAGATTAATGAAGATATCCAAGAACCCGACATTATGACCCGATGTTTAAATCGTAAATAGATATTATATGAGGCGGTGTGCAGATAAACCATAATGTTTAAAAGGCTCATTAGACTTATAATAGGGGTCATTATTATCTGGTATCAAAAATATTGTAAATAAGTTCATAATGGAGATTCCTATAATAATGCACAAAAACCTTAACACATATTTATAGTAAAACATTTAAATCATTTTGTTAATGGGCAAGATTTTGCAAATTCTTATAAAAATAGAATAACACATTTATTTTAGAAAATATGAAATTTTATTCTAAATCAGTTTTAAAATTAGTCAAAATCTGAAAAGAAAAACTTAACTGTTACGTAATTTAGCAAAATCATAATAATTTACTGTACAAACAAACTTGGTAATTTACGTATTTATATAATATTATTGTAAATAAATTAGTATTCAACTAATTAAAATAATAAACATGCATAATTTCATAAATAGTCATACAATTTTATTACTTTACATCTACTGTACTATCTTAACATTTGCTGTACTATATTTATATCTACTGTACTATCTTTTTTTAAAGTGATTGATTCATTACTTCTTTATGTTTAGTTTAAAGACATTGTACCTTAAATGTGAAAAAGCTGAACAAACTTTAATGATCTTTGGCACTACAACTGGCGAGGTTTTTAATTCTTTTCTTTTTTTAGCTATGTCTCAAGTATTATCATATTGAAAGTGTATTATAAATTGCATATAGGTACTTGGAGCATATTTATCATCTTCACTAAAAAATAGACATAATGGTAATCAAAACCTTTCTTTTTTTGGCACAGTGGAAACGTTTATTTTCAAACTTAATCCTGAATCAGTGTGTTATCACTGGAATGGATATGAGCAGTTGCATTCTAAAGTTTCAACTTATGTGTTTAGTAGTGACTCTTTCGATGAAAAACGGACTCCTAAAGGTAATTTAAATTTATGAAGTGCAGTTTATATGGTAAAGTTTGTTTGAAGTTTTTTATACAAAATATGATGGTTTATTAAACATGTTACTAATTAGAATCGTTTATTTAGACTTGTTATCAATTGCAATTGTTTATTTAGACTTGTTACTAATGACAATGGTTTTTTTAAACTTGTTGCAATTACAATGGTTTATTTAGACTTGTTACTATGACAATGGAAATGTTATTAATGACAATGATTTATTTAGACTTGTTACTAATGAGAATGGACATGTTATTAATGACAATGGTTTATTTAGACTTGTTACTAATGATGATGGACATGTTATTAATGACAATGGTTTATTTAGACTTGTTACTAATTACTATAGTATATTTAAATATAAACTTTTGTTTTATTAAAGAACATCTTGCAATTACATCATGTTTTGAAGCTAATCAAATAACACAAAGAAGCCAAATCAAAAGAGATGAACATATTAGGAGTGCATTGTTTATTTCTTGTGATGAATCAAGAATGGTCATAGGAGGAGGGTATGAAACATCGCTCTTAAAAATTTTTTTATATATGTATATATACTGGTCTTGCCGGGAATAAATGAGTGTGAGAGCAGAGAAGAGCTTTCCTAAAACGAAGTGACGAGCCATGTGAGCAGCTCCTCCAAACAGCTTTTTACAAGAGCTTTCGGTTTATGCGAAAGCTATCTGCTTTTTCGTTAAAAATTGCTTGTTTAATACAAAATGTGATTTTATAATTGTTACAAGCATATGCTGGTGATGTTAATTGTTACAAGAATATATACATAATAAACGTTGTTTATCAAGATGTGAAAAAGTTTTTTGCAATACCCGTGCCTTAATAGAGTAATTCCATTTTATTATGCAATTATTGGTTTATTTTAAAAATGACTTTTGCGTTTTCATAATAATTACAGCGATAATGGTTTTCTTTGATAAACACCTGTGCGAACTTGACCATATTGTCATTACCCCTCTAACAGTCTCGTGTTTTTTTAAATTACAGTCGCTATTAGTCCATCCTTTTTTTTTTTTTTTTGAAGTGGTCTCTAAATGTCACGTGCTTTTAAAAACACCTTATTTTTTTAATAAAAAATTTAAAAACTTTTTTTACTACTTTTGATATTATTAAACACTACAAAATATTATTATTCAAGTTTAAGAATATAAAATCATACAATAAAATCATAACATTTTAAAAATGTATTCACTAATGTTTACTTTTTATTTGATAGTTAAATAAAAAGTGAATATAAAAAATAGGATAAGCATGAAGCTGCACAAAGTCCAGGGCCAACGACACCAGGGCGGCTTTCTCTTTCCTACCCACACACACTTTTTTTTAAACCTTTTCTTTTTTTTTTCATTTTAAAAAATTCTAAATTTAGAGGACTTTTTTTTAGAAATTGACGATTGTGCCCCTCCACTTCAAAACAGTGGAGGGGCACAATCGTCGATTTAAAAAAAAAAAGATGCATTAAACCGTAATATTACGGCATGGACAATTGAAAACCAAGAGCTAAAGCTCTCGCTTCCGCCAATGCCTATATATATATATATATATATATATATATATATATATATATATATATATATATATATATATATATATATATATATATATATATATATATATATATATATATATATATATATATATATATATATATGCATACAGAGGTTGTTTGGGTAAAAAAGTATAAAGAAATATCGCGTGTTGGTAGACTAGATAAAACATATTATTGACTACCCAGTTTGTCATATTCAACGTTCTTTAAGTTTCTGTACAAGTTTAATAACCAAACGAATGAGACCCGACCACTTCATCTTTTTCCCTTTTAGGTTTATTTCTGCCATAACAAAACGGACTGTTTTTTCAATCGTACTAATGTGCCATAAGAATGTTATACAAAGAATTAAAGTTTAAGAAAAAAGTTTATTTTTAATTAGAAATAAAAGCGTAGATTATAAAAAAATAATTAGTACTATTATTTTATGGAAGTGTTTCTATAAGGTTATTCATAACTTTTGTTTGAATAATGTTTGCGAACTTCTTTAGAGACGGTGAAGGTATTGCGATTGATGGAGATATTCACGCTGGTCGTTCAACATGGTGCCGAACTTTTGATAACGCTCCGTTATCATCGCTTGAGAATGGAGATTTTTTTATAATACGTTTGGATGTATTCGGATTCCATTAGCTGTCGTATAAACTATTTTTAAAAGTTTGATTTCATTATTCGAGTCTTTCATTATTCTAATTTTCGTCAAAAGGTCTTCTTGTCTTAAAGTAAAAACACTAAACTTTTTTCAAAACAAAAATCAAGAATGTTAAGTATTAGACTTTTTTAGACACAAAATGATATTTTGATGTTCTAAATAGATTTAGGGAATCGTCCCACTATCTTCTTAAGTTACATTCTCCAGTTTTAATTTATTTATATTATTTAATATTTAAGCTGATAATTTTATTTTTTATTTAATTATTTCTTTAACATTTTGGATTCATCTTTAATTATTTATTTTGTTTTCACCATTTTTAATTTTTATAATATTATTTATTTTTTAATTTTTAATTTTATATTTATTTTTTAAATTGTTTTTAATTTAAAATATTTGGTAATACCTTTTTTAGAAATTTTTAATGTAAAGTATTTGACAATACTTAAAAAAATTTATATAATTTTATGATACAATTGTTACTATTTCATACGATACGATACAATCGTTACGATTTCATACGATACGATAATAATAAAATAACACTTTTTTATATCTTTTACAAGTTATTGATTGTAAATCTTGAGATTTTCTCCAAGTTTATTTATATTATTTAAAAAATTTTTTTTTTTAAATTTATGAGTTTTTAATTAGTCATATGTTTATACAAATGTTATTGTCATGATAAACGAAAACTTCTGTCCATTACATTATCATACAAATCAATTAAATAAAAAAGAGCAGTTAAATCTACAAATATATATTTTTATAAACTATAAAAATTTATTACATTCTTTTAAATGATTTCAGTTAAAATTATCTTTACTTAATGTTTTTATTAAATTACTTCTAGTAGGTTTGTGTAAAAGAAAAACCGTTGAAAATAAATTAAAAAACACCCTTTTCTTTTTAATATTTTCTATTTTAAAAAACTGTAAAACGTTTAAATAATAGGAGAGTTTTCAATTTTATTGAAAGAGTACAGACATTGATTTTTAAAATAATCCAATTTCAAAATAAACCTGCAAAGAGCAAGACCACTCAAATAATATAAATCTAATTCTGTTGTGTCAATAGAGAAAAAATGTCTTGGAGAAAAGGTAGTTCCTTGATTCAACTGTTAAAAAAATTTGTGCCATCTAAAATCAGTTTCATCCGACCGGGATTTTAAAAAGCTGCTGTCCCATATTTAAAACCAAAAAATAAGGCTACAGGGTTCCTACCAGTCCTGGCATAAGTTGTTTCACATCCACATCCACAATAAGTTGTTTCACATCCACAACCACAATAGGGCATAATTAATTTGTTTTAAAATTATTATTTGAAAGATTGATTTTTTCATAGAAGTTCTCATAAATCATAAATAGTTTGTTGATATATATTTTTTCAATTAGTATTTAATTATTGCATTGTTGTATACAGTGGCGGATGCAGGTCATTGTCCTAGGGGGGGGGGGGGTAATTTAGCCAACAAAAAAATTCTGCTTTTTTTTTCTTTAGACAAACCACTTTTTTATTGATTATTTATAATATTTTTGGAAAAGTTTGTTACTAAATATATTGAATGTACTGTATATAAATATCTTGAAAAAATCAGAAGTTGAAAATAAATACTTAGTTTGTAATAAGGGACGGATTTTATTTTCACGATACATTTAAAAATTGAGCCCGTTAAAATCATGGTGCACAGGCTGCGGTATTGTCTGCCTGTCGGTAAATCTAGCCCTGTCTGTAATGTGCAACAAAAGACAAAATAATATCTATAGTATTTATATATATATATATTTTTTAATAAAGACTTTTAACAAAGTTTAACAAACTACAATATAGAATTGAGCTTTCTAGTTTCCGAAGATGCAAAACTATCAATAATCTCCTCAACATTTATGATGCAATCTCTATAGATATGAATCATAGTTAAGCCATTTAATCGCTCTTGTCCTATATTGGATCTTAACCAAGTTTTGAGCCTTTTTAAAACCGAGAAACTCCGTTCTCCCGAAGCAACGCTAACAGGTAGGGTGCAAAGGAGTTGTAAAATACATTTAATTAAAGGGAAAACATTACCATCACATTGCTGGTATGCTTCCAGTGCACATTCAGATAGGTCTTGTTGCTTTTTGATTGCGTCTTTCCATTTTAGATCCCAAAATTCAAATTCTGAAGAAGCTTTCATTAATTGGACATTCTCATTAACAGTATTTATATTGGGCAGCCCTTTCATAAAACTCAGTATATTAGTTATGGGTGCTGTTAACTCTGTCTTTGTTTTATTTAATAAATTTCTAGGTATTGCAACATTTAATTCAAAAGACTTTAAAGTTTCATCAGAAAATCTGAACTGTAAATCTAGAAGGATGCTATCAAGTAGCGGTTAATAAATATTGACTCTATATTAAGTTAGAGAATCATTGGTATTGAGGTTTGCGCGATTAGTTTGTTTTCCTGTAATTCGTGGAATCTTGAATTTTAAACCTAAATCTTCTAGTAACTTTGATGCAGTCATAAATATAGAGTTAAAGTTTTTTTCATTCTATCGTCTTTTATTTAATATCTTTATGGTATGTTTAAGAATAGTTTTTGCGTATTCCTTATTAAGTAATTTTTTTTGAAGAGCTTCACTTAAAGAGACTGTAGTATTTAACACATTAGCTAATGAACAAAGTGTTATTACAAAAAAGGGCTCAGATATTGCATTTTTTAGTAATGTAGCCTTTGTTGAAGAATCTTGTTCATTCCACTGAGATATCAAATCAAGTGTTTATACTATACTTATTAAACAAGATTTAAAACTTAACACAGAATCATGTCGTTCAATCCATCTTGCTTTGCATAAGCTTGTAAGCATTCCCTTATTTATATATTTAAGAACGTTACTTCGCTTTGGTGAACCTTTAAAAAATGATATTACTTCTTTCATTGTGCCAATTGTATTTTCTTACAGCTCGCACAGACGAACATTAGAAACTGATAAGTTTAAAGCATGGTTGTAGCATGGAATTTTTATTGCGTTTGGTAGGATCTTCTGTAATTTCGTGACTGCTCCGTTGTTTTCAACTAACATAAGGCTGCATCCATCAGTACCTATACCAACGCAATCTTTAAATTGAAGCCAAATTTTGTCAATGTGTTTGCAACTGTGTTTGCTAGCAATTCTCCTGTTAGTACAGGTTCATAAGTAAAATAATAATAATTTTCAGTATGGCAGTTTACAAAACCAATGAAATCTTCACGGATTTCACAGGTATTAACATCAATATATCTTAATACGACTGTCATTTGAGAACTATGACTGGTATCCGTTGTTTCATCAAATATAACGCTAGAAAACTTTCCTTTGTTTTAATTAAGCCCTGAATTTGTTGAGCGCAAAGTTCAATTATTTCATTTTGAATACTTTTACTTATGTATGTTGCTTTAGAATTACAGTTATTTAAATGGTTTTTTAAAATATTGTCCCCAGCGCTCACTCGAAAGCAAAGCAATTCCCGAAGATTGCCATCATTAATTAATGAAGAGTTTTGATTTATTTTAAAAATCTGCCCATCATTGCGATGACCTCGCAGAGCAATATTCTGTCGACCAAGAAATATTATAGATTCAATTATAGACTTTAATCGTTCTCTATTTTCTTTAGCCTGTTTAAGTCTTCCTTCGTTAACTAAATTACGTACATCTGTAGACGGACATTCGTATGTTCTGATGAAATCAGAACATACGAATGAAATCAGAACATACGAATGTCCATCACAAAGTTGCTATGATGCTGCCAACATAGCAACTTTGTGATACACATTGTAATCATGTAATTTTAAGTCACCATCCTTACCCAAAAGCTTTGAATATCTTTTAAGAGGTAAAGTAACTAACTTAAGTAATTGCACTTGACCGTGTATTACCACAACTTTTGCAAAAAGAAAGTAATACTTACAAAAAGTTCCATAAAGGCATTCTGAAATCATTATCCATGGAAACTTCTTTATATGTTTCTCGGATAAAAAGCAACTAACATTCTTACCCTTCTTTAGATGCACAGAATTTGGATATTTATAATTTGGACCAAGAAATCAATTGCATTTCAATATTCGGTATTTATCTTTTTCAGTTACTTGACGTGTTAAAAATACCCCAATGTCTATAGGCAAACAGCTATCATCTTTTATCGCGGGTATTGAATCTTCTTTACTAATGTCTGCGTTAGTTTTATTTGTAAAATTAGCAGCTTCCATACCAAGTCCAGGTTCTGGAGATAAAGGATTGAGTTTCATTGTAATTTGATTATTTTCAGCCCCGCCAATAAATGTACAATTTAATCGTTCGGAAGATGACCCGGAAGATAAAGGCCAAACGATAGGACCAGCATGGTCCTGCATTGGTAGAATCTTACTTCTTTTGACAAAATAGTCATCTAAAAAGTTAGTCCTCTTTACCCTGTTGATCATTGTAGCTAATAAAAATAATTTCATTATAAATAGTAAAATTTATTTGTTATTTATTTAAAATAGTAAGTAACACACTTTTGTTTTCTAGATAAGAAACTAATTCATAAAAAATTCATTCAGTTACTATTTAAAATAAAAAAATTCTTCGTATCTTATTTAAATACAACTTAAAGTGTATAAAAGCGTAGTATAAATAGAAGTGTTAAATTTTCAATTGTTGAAAAATAAATACTTTTTTTATTGAAATTTTAACTACCAAAAACGGCATCACGTATATAAATTATACTACAAATTAAAATTAAATTAATAAAAAAAAACTTACCATTCAAACCAAACCTATATATATATATTTGTAAGTTTTTAAAAACAATTTAAAAAGTTTTTCAAAATATAGATAGCAATTTTACTGTTTTTTATTGTTATCTCCTTATATAATAGAATGAATGAATGATGATAACTTTCAAATGTTTCGAAACTTTCTTCGTTTTTTCTTTGATATCGTTATAATTATAGCGTTCTGTCACGGAGAAAACAGTCCGCCGGAGTAAACTGTCCGGCCGGACTGTTTACTCCGGAGTAAAATGTCCTACATTGGAGTAAATTGTCCTAGTTAGCAAATAATTAGTTAAAGAATCGCGGCTGATTTTGTACCAATAATTGGTACAAAATCAGCCGCGATTATAAGATTTTATGTTTGTTATATATTTAGCTATAATTAATATTGTTCGATTTAAAATAAATTATTATTATAAAATATCAAAAATCATTTTAAAAATGGATGAACAGAAAAGTAATTATGAAGAAATGATGCTTGCTGATGTTAGTAACTATTTATCTAAATCTGTTTATCGTCATGACTGCACCCTAAATGATAAGCGGACAATTAGACGAAAAGCAAAAAGATAAAGATTGTAAAAGTTAAGATGCTATGTTTGTAGTATTACTAGTACATAGTTATAATTTCTAACTATGTTACTATGTAACTAGTAACTAACCCATAACTCATTTTTGAAAAAAAAGACCTTACTTAGTAAGTAATGTTTTTCTTTCTCTTTTTTTAAAATCATTTTTAGTAGTGATAGCTCTGAAATGTTAGATGGCTATCATACTTGTAAACAGTGTATATTTTTTTAAATAAGGTGATAGTGTATCTATAATTTTTATTATGTGATTTTTTTAACTTTATTCTTAAATAATTTTTCATTTAAGTCTTGTGATATCAGTTTAAATACATAACATATTTGTTATATAATATTATTATTATTATTATTGTTATTATTATTATACACTGCAAGGAGAGAAACCCCTGGAACAGAACATGAGTACATGTTCTGCTATAAGCAGATCAAAGGCTTAGTGCCGGTCATTTGTAATTGTTATATCTTAGTTTGATTTTTTTTTCAAAAAAAAACAACTGTTTTTAAAACTTTTAACACTCTTCTGGAACTTAGTCGAATCATCCAAATTATTCCAGTGATTGACGACTCTGTTTGTGAAAAATATACATTAATAATATATAACATATTTGTAATATGGAAGTTATGCATCACATAGGTTAAAAACTGTGAACAGTGTCAGCATACAAATATACGAAGATTTAAAAAAACTCGCCCAGAGCTGCATCCTATTAAAGTTCAGTCACCATGGTTTCATATTGGAATCGATTTAATAAGACCACTTCCTGAAACATCAGCAGGAAATAAAAATATCCTCACTATCTCTGATTATTGCACAAAGTGGGTAGCTGCATTTCCCCTTAAATCAAAATTAGCCAGTGGTGTTGTAGTAGCATTATATAAGGTAACTTTAAATGTTATCTTTATGTATAATATTATTATTGGATTACAGTGAATTTATTTGTTATGTTTGCAATGATATAAAAATGTTTAATATTTCAGTTGTTCATGCAGATGGGTATACCAAAAGTTGTTACCTCTGACCAGGGCACAGAGTTTTACAACCAAATAAACAGGGAACTTATGTCACTGCTAAATGTGAAGCATCAGTTTACCACTGCTTATCATCCACAGGTTTTCAAATCTGAATTGAGTTTGCATATAATTTTCTGTCTGGTTAAAAATATTTGATTTAATCATTTTTTATTTTAGGCTAATGGCTTAGATGAGCGGTTCAATCAAACCATTCAGTTAATGCTTGTAAAGTTTTGCAATGACCGGCACAGTACATGGGATACTCATTTGGATGCATGTACTTTTGCATACAATACGTCAAGGCAGGAGTCTATAAAATACACTCCCTTTGAGTTAATGTTTGGTAGAAAACCCATACTTCCTATTGAATTTGAAGTTGCTGGTGAATCTCCTGAATCGTTGTTATTTGATTTTAATGCAAGACCTGAGAGTAGTCAACATTTTATGAACAAAATAATAGAGGAAAGGTATAAAGCTTTTATTGGTTTAATAAAAAATAATTGTTCCTTTTTTCTTTTCTTTTTTTCTTTCTGGTAGCCTGAATAGCATTGTACAAAATTTAATGGTACAACAATTATTGAAAGATATAAAATGTGAAAAGTTCTTTGTTTAATTTTAAATTTATTCTGAAGTTTTACAATAAATATTTATACTTTAGATCATGTATCCTAGAAAAAGCTAAAAAAAATATCAAAACAGCTCAAGAAAAACAGAAACTGCATTATAACAAGAAGCATGCTAATCCATTTGTTTATGCAATTGGATCCAAAATCCTGATCAAGGATTTTTTGCAGAAAAAACGAAAAGATGGAAAACTAGATTTCAGATGGCTTGGACCTTTCTGTATTTTGAAAAATTTAGGAAAGGGGTCATATCTCTTACAAGAGATAGCCACCTTAAAGGAAAAAAAGGTTAATGGTGCTCACATTAAGCCATACATTACTTGTAATATTAATGTGGCAATAACAGAGGCGGATTCTTTTAAGGAATGTAGTAAAATTGATAGTAGTCATACAAATCCAACAGGCAACATCAGCGACCAGAAAAACAAATCTGATATATTTTTTACATCTAGTATTAAATCTACTCTGTTGCCAAAGCAGTCCTCAAAATCTATTATATTGCCAATGCAGTCCTCAAAATTCTGCAACAATCATGATCATGATTATTGTACACCAGCAAAGAAAAAATGTTATGAAACAAATGTATCCAATAAAGATCAGAGAATTGAGATAAGTACAATTGAGGTGGAAACCTACAAAATTGCATCCAAAGAAACAAAAAAGAAGGTATTGTGGATAAAAAACAGTTTGTGTGAGTTGACATCCATTGAAAGAAATATTCTTAGGAGTGAGAATGAGTGGCTAACAGATAGCATAATTTTTGCCTCACAGAATATTTTAAAGGCACAGTCATCAATAGCTGGTTTCCAAGATCCTATTCTAGGATTAAATATGGCATTTCTTGCAATGAAAAATAGTTTTATCCAGATACTCCATGATGGATATGGACACTGGTTTACAATTAGCAATATAGGAGCGCAAAAAATGAATGAAGTTTTTATTTATGACAGCATGTTGAACTCTTTGAGTGATCAAGGGAAAAAACAGATTGCTGCCCTTTTGGTATGTCCTGAGAAAAAAATTATCATTAAAATAATGGATCTTCAAAAACAGAAAGGAGGAAATGATTGCGGTTTATTTGCTGTAGCTTTTGCTGCAGCTTTAACTAAGCAGATACAACCAGATCATTGTTTGTTTAAACAAAATCTGATGCGGGATCATTAATTGAAAAGCCTTCAAGAAACGGTTCTTTTTATGTTTCCAACAGTGAAAGTAAGTACAGAAATTGGTGGGGTTAGCTGCATTGAGGCTATAGATATTTTCTGTTCTTGTCGAATGCCGGCTGCAGGCCAAATGATTAAATGTTTTGAATGCGATGAGTTATATCACTTAACATGTTTAATTGACTTTCAGAAAAGTATCTGTGATATCTTCTTTTGTGATTCGTGCAAGTTATTATTTGATAATAATCTATGATATATGTATAGATCTATATCTATGGATCTATATATATAATTAAATATATATATATATATATATATATATATATATATATATATATATATATATATATATATATATATATATATATATATATAATTAATTCATTAAAACATCATATTTGTTATATACTACTTATTCAATTTTCAAGAGTTAGATATTTTCTCTTCCTGTCGAATGCCTGTTGCTGGCAAAATGTTGAATATTTTGAATGCAAAGAGTTATATCACTTTACATTTTAAAAACATGTTATGATTTTTAACTTATAGAATAAGCTGACAGAAATAACACAAAATATGATGTTTTAATTACTTTTTTTATTATTACACATACTATCAAAGATGCCACTTCAGATACAGATATGACTGTCACTTAACCTGTGTGGTTTTTTAGTTATTTTAACTTTGTTTTTTCATATTTTAGATGGTTTTTTTGTTTAGCATATATTTTTAAGCAAAATTTGTTTTCATTATTATTTACTGGTAATATTTACGAATATCTTTATGGAAAAAAATATTTAAGTAAATGTTTTGCAAACAATCTAAAATTTAAATAGATTAGAAAATATTTAATAACATTTAGAGCAATTAATCTTTCAATGAAAATTAGATACATATTTGGCTTCGTAAGTTAGTCCATTTTAATATGTGTTTCTGACATATTTATTTAAGAGGTTTGAAAAAATCCTAATTCTTATGTTGATTTGTTTTTAAATTTGTTACTATTGCATTCTTCATACAATAGAAGGAGTATGTTTAATAGTTTTTGGAACATTTTCCTACCCAACGCAAGCTTATTTAACCCCTCCCCCCCCCCCCCCATATTGATAGCATGAAATTTGTTGAAAGAAATCTTGATAACGGAGAATTTGTTGAAATTTATCTTGATAGCGTAGAATTTGTTGAAAGTCATGTTGATAGTGTAGAATATGTTGAAAGTCATGTTGATAGCGTAGAATTTATTGAAAGTCATTTTGATAGCGTAGAATTTGTTGAAAGTTGTGTTGATAGCGTAGAATTAGTTGAAAGTCATCTTGATAGCGTAGAATTTATTGAAAGTCATGTTGATAGCGTAGAGTTTGTTGAAAGTCATGTTGATACTGTTAAGTTTCTTGAAAATCAAGTTGATACTGTAAAGTTTGTTGAAAATCAAGTTTTTCAAAATTTTTTCAGGTACTTCGTTCTGTTAATAATGAATTCAATGGTTAAAAATCACAAAGTGATGTTTACCTTTTCATTCATAAACTAACAGCAATGGAAAACAACACAAATCGATAAAAGACATGGTGCAGAGACATGGTGACAAACACCAGAAACTCAGTTCAAAGGTATGTTGTTTTAATGATATGTTCATTTATGGATTTTTAAACAATGTATAGTTAAGTAAATTATTTCAATTGGAGAAGAATTGTTATTTTTTTAAGAATTCGTAAGTGAATTCCTTGTGAACTTATAAAAAATTTTATTTTTCGATATGCAATTGCATTTTTTGACAAAATATAATTTGTTTTAAAGTTTTAAATAATTGTGTAGTGTAGACGTTAGGGCAGTGTAAAAAATCTATAATAATAAATTTTATTTAAATATTTTAAATAAAAGTTATTTAAAGGGTACTTTAAGAGTTAGAAAAATATCTCAAATGCATAAATATTGTGATGTAAGTCCATCCTTTAGGGCACCAAAATGCTGAAAATAAAGTTGTGAAGGTACAAGTGTCTCTTCAGTACTTACTGAAGTACGAACACCTTTAATCGTAATTATTTTTGCAGTTTCATATTGCTTGTATGTTTGGTGGACCTAAATGTCTTGTGAAAATGTTACCTGTAAACAAATTAAATTCTCAATTTTTATATGATCAAATTCATTTGACTGTTGAAGCAGTTAAAGAGTCTAATAGCAACGCAAAGACAATCCTTGCTTGTAATGGAAATCGAACTAATCAAGCATTTTTTTAAAAATTTGACACATTTCCTGAAAAACCTTGGCTAACCACCAATGGAACCTATTTGTTGTTTGACTTTGTCCACTTAATCAAAAACATGCGAAACAATTGGCTCACAGAAAAAAAAGGAGAATTAATTTTTTATGAAAATGGTGTTGAGAAAACAGCTTGTTGGAGTCATTTGATAAAACTTTTTGAAGCTGATTCTAATTGTCTAATGAAACTTTCTGATTTGAATGAAGTTTCTGTTCGACCCAGTCATATTGAAAGACAATCTGTTTCTACCTGTCTAAAAGTGTTTTCTGAAAAATCATACAGCGCTTTACTTAATCATCCTGAAACCTCCAACATCTTAAACATAAATGAGACTGCTGATTTTATTAAAATGGTTGTTACATGGTGGAAAATTTTAAATGTAAAAAGTGTGGGTGTAGATTGTAGGTTTAATGATGATCGAAAAGCTGTCATCAGAAATCCAAATGATGATAGATTAAAATTTATTTGGGATTTCGGAGAAATGGCATTACGTTTTGACAAGTAATCAAGGGAAGCGTATAAAACAATTTACACATGATACAGGATATTCCATAAATCATACATGTAAAGGAATTGTTGAGTTGACAAAAACACTATTAAAAGAAAAACACAAATATGTTATGTTGGGAAAATTTACAACAGACCCACTTGAAAAAGAATTCAGCAAGTTAAGATTAGGATCTGGTGGCACATATTTTTTAAGTGTCCAGCAAATAATTGAAAAGTTCAATATTTCTAAAACTTCACTTTAGTTGTCATATAGCATTAATGAGTCAACTCCTGATGCAGGACATTCTTGCCAATTTTGTGGATTTTTACTTGATGAATCTTCAGCTGAGGTCTTTGATAATTTGCCAACACTAGAAAAAAGTATAACTGTTCAATCAAAGATGTCTCTTGTTTATATTGCCGGATATGTGTCTCGTAATGATGATTTGCTTAATGAAAATGAACTTTTAACCAGAACAATGTTTTATTTTGAAAAGTTTGGTCAATATCTAAAATCAGTCGATAGAGGTGGGTTAAAAGTTCCTTTTGATAATACTGTTCAATGGGTTTTCTTCTCGTTTGTACTATTTAACTCTATTAAAGATAAAGTTTGTCGGACATCCCTGTGCAACATTTTTATGCTTATATCGGATCATTATTCTTTTGACATGGAACGACATCATAGTAATATACTGTCAAATATTTTTATCAAAAACCACTGCAAACTTTCCACACCAAGATCGAACAAAGAACCGTCTCTGAAAATTTTAAAGTTGTCTTGTTAAGTTGACAGTTATTTATTGACACTTATGCTGTTATTTCTTTATTGAAATTTATTAATTGATTTAAAGTTTCTGTTTTATGATTTTAAAAGTATTTCTTATTTATTTAAATCACTAAAATATATTCCTATTTAAAGGTGCAGTTACCCCCTAACAGTACTTTATTTAACTTTTTTACCTGATATAAAACTTTTTTATTTCATTATTTAAGCAATTTTATGAATTGAAACAATTAAATAAAGTTTATTGTTAAAAACTTAAAGAGATTTCTAAATTGTACAAATTTTTACATAGTTTAATGCTTTATATAACGGGAGCAACATATTTTGTTTTTAAAAAATTATCATATTGATTTTTGAAATATCGGCCCCCACATTTTTTTCTAAGTTTTGCGTGTCACGGCCTGTTACTTATAGATCGCCGTGCTTAAAAGCATAAAAGCATAAAGCTATAAAAGTAGTGCAACGTTGTCGTGACATTTAATTTTAAAAAAAAATTAAAAGCAATGATAAGAGAATTGTTGAAAAAAAATTTAGAAACAACTGTTCTGCGAATTTAAAAATCAACTTGTCACAATTGATGACGTGACTTGAAAATCAACTAATCGGACTTCATTACCGTGACTTTAAAAGCCGTTTTTTGTAAGAATCAGGCAAATTCGGAAAAAAGTGGAAGTATTCCCCTCCAAATTGCTTAAATTTTTTATATATTGTTCAGAATATAGAGAAAAACGTTTAGGACAAAAATAATTCTAAAAACGTTTCCTTCACTCAGAATCCGCCTTTAAAATTTTGAGATTTTTTGAAATTTGTTCTAGAAATTTAGTTTTTGCCATATTTAAACCCATTTTTTGGGAAGAAGTTTCACATAACTAGGGAAAAAGTTTAGGGAAGAAGTTTCACATAACTGTTATAGCTAATATCACACGTAACCCAAAAAACTTTGTTTAAAAAATAAAAAATTGCTTAAAACTGAGCGATTGACTTATTATCAGTTTAAAAGTACAAAAATATAAAGTTTTGTTAATTTTTAAAGATGTTTATTTCTTAACGCGGAGAGTTGCACATACTTTTTTTGCAGGATGCAGTATCATAGGGATTTAGTCTGAAAATGCACAGAAAGTTATGTGACACCTGAAACCTATCCAAATATTAAGGTTTAAACTTGAAAAATAATCAAATAGTATTCTTACAAAACGACCCGTTACCCGTTAAACCGGAGGTTTTGTAAAAATGTCAATGTAACATGGTGCTAACATAATAGTAAAGAAAAATTCGCGTGATCTTGTTACATACATGAAATAACACGAATAAATTGAACAAAAATCGAACATCAAGAAAACAGTTTTGCTAATACAATGATACATAAAAGAAACATTTAAATGTATTTCCATTTAAAAATCAATTTTCCATTAATAAATAGAGTTATTTAGATGCTTTAAATAAATGATCCAACCCAAGCCGTCGCTAGCCCACTAATGCCCCCTACGAGGTCGGAGGGAGAACAAATTTAGGAGCTCTTTTTTAATATTTAGAGGTCTTTCTACCAAATTTAAGATTTTTAATTTTAGTCTTAAGCATGCAAGTTTTTGAAGTGCTTTTATTTCGCTTCGCTCAAAACAAGTAACAGCGATACTTTCCTTTTAGAATCTACTCAAACAAAGAAACTCTTATTTCAAGCAGTTTTAAGAACATGACAGACAAAGAAAAGCAATAATATAACATAGATGAGTTGTTGACTTGATAAAAATCCCGGAAATTTTTTTTCTATGAAAATACCGAAAAATTATATGGTCAACTAGTTGACGAAGGTATGTGGATATACTCTGGAATGATGGTAAAGGGATAGATAAATTAACTAAAAACTACTGAATAATTATTTTTCTTCAAAATTTTTTAAAATCAAATACAATGTCTCAGTTTTACCGTAAACAGTTTGCAAAGAGTAATAATTTATTTACTTTTTAAATATAAAATCTGAGAAAATGGTTCAGAAATTAATACTTTTAGTAATAGAATTCCCGGAAAATTTTCATCTGTGAATATAACCAATAAATATATATTAAAACTCGATTATTTATAAAATATTCAAATAACTTTTTAGCAATGAAAATATAAAATGAAAATATAAAATGCAAACTTATTTAATGATACGCCTCTGTAAATATTTATAATATATTGCTAAACCTATCATACTATATTATATTAAAATCGCATATATATAATCATAGACATATTTAAAATCTTTTTAGTATTTTTTAGTACATACGCCGTCAGTTTTTTAAATTAAGTAACAATATCAAGTGCAGGAGCTATTCACAGCAAATGATCTTGGGTTATACAAAACTAGCCATGTACGAAAAGCCCTTACTCTCCTGATCATTTATAGACTATTTGCCATCTTTTAAGCCTTGTGGAAATTATACATTATCATCTTCTATAAATCCAATATGCAACAACATAACTGTATTCCTGCACAATCACAGTTATTTTAACTGTTGAGGATTTAATCTGTTTACTCAATCTGCGGATATACTTCCACCGCTTAGTATCTAAAAATAAAAAAAGGTTGAATAATTGAGTTTGAATCTAGTTTAATCCTGTTAAAATAAAAGTGTTAACACAATAGTCAAAAAAAATTTAATGTCTAATTATGTCTATGTAATTTCAATATATGCATACAAATTTCTCTCAAGCTGTTGTTTGTTTCTGAAAAATAATTAAAACAGGTGGCCACCTAATATATAAATTAAATTCTTTTATCATTAATTGAAAAAAAAAAAAAAATTAAAAAAAAAAAAGTAATATCTTTTAATATCTTTACTTCTAACAACAAAATTATCACTGTTTTTATTTCTATTTTAACTTTTTTTTTAACTGATAGAGGCTAGAAGCAACCACTATTGGAGATGGAAGTTACTAGAAAAATCATGAAAAAGGTTATATAGTGCAAAATGACAGTTTACAGAAGATTATAAATGTTTTCCAGGTTCATATAATCAGGAAGATCATATTTTCCTGATTTATATAATTCATACAATCAGGAAAATTAAAAGTAAACACCAATAAAAAAACTGAAACATAAGATTTTTTATTTTGCACTTATGAACAGCCACATTCATTGAATGCCGAGTATAATAATGATTTTTTGTAGTCACAAGAGATTCTAGCTCTTTAGACCAGCAGGCTATTTATTATTTATAGAAAGGAGAACAAAAGGCGTGACAAAGGTTGAAGGTTAGCTGAAAGAGCAGGTTAAACTATGTTTACGATGCATTTTTTCAGAAAGGACATGTTTGATGTATTTCCCTTTATATGGCAACAGTATTCCATGCTAGGATGGATTGGGGATTTATAGAGATGAAGAATATAATCAGGAGTAAGAAAGTGACACTAGTGATGTACAGATTAAACATTTTTGGCCAATGCCGATGGATAGTAAAAGGCTGATAAAGATTATTTCTCAAAATCTCAAAAAGCAGAAGAATGCTAGATTAAAAGACAAGAGTCGCAATGTTCAAAGGTTTATAGGATATACCTAAAAAAAGCCAAGTTATTTCTGCAGGTTGCAAAGCTTTAAATGGCTTGATAAAAAATACTTAAAAATGAAGCCAAAAATGGCCTCTTTTTTAACTTAATTCACATGTTATTTTATAGTATATGGTATATGGTAGTGTAACATTGGCAATGAATGTTGATGATCTCTAGTGTCAACATCCATAAATCTAGGTTCAGCAGTGTCTGGAAAGAAAACCATTGAGTACAACAACTTAAGCTTTTCTTTTCACATTTAGACACCAATTGCCAGTGAAAGGTTTAAACAAACAGTTTTGTTTAAATACCAATAATAAACGTTTATTATTGATATTTAAACAAACTGTTTGTGTTTATTCTGTAAATTAATTATGACTTATACTTTTAAACAAGTAAAATGCGCAATAACTTGTCAATAACTTCTCTTTACATTTCATCAAGGAGCAGGCAGTAACGGTTCAAAATTATTTTATAATATATGTTCCTAAGTTGTGATAAACATTTTCAAAACATTCAAAACATTTGGCAATTCCGTTGCAAAAAACTACCCAAAAGGAAACAGAATTTTGTGTTTCCTTACCCAAAAGGAAACAGAATTTTATGTTTGTTTTTGGCATTTCGGCTTTCCGGCGTTTTAGGTTTCGACTTTTTAGCAACTCTGGTAGGACAGTTTACTCCAACGTAGGACAGTTTGCTCCGGAGTAAATTGTCCTAACCGGACGGATAGGACCAACTAGGACATTCTACTCCGGAGTAAACTGTCCGGCCGGACAGTTTACTCTGCGGACTGTTTTCTCCGTGACAGTTCTTTACTAGGCCTATTCATCGCGCACCGGATTTTTTTGTGGAGGCCTACTTTTTTACGGCAAAAAAGACAATAACTTCGTAATTTTAAAACTAAAAAGTAATTTTAATTCTCTTTATAGCCTAATAATTTTTTTTGATGAAAAAAGAAAATTAATATTAAGTAATAAACAATGTAAATAAAAGGCAAAGAAATTTTTTCTAATTTGAAATTTCACACATTTACATAATTAAATTATTTCACCTTTAGTTTTGGCTTTAACAGCTAAATACGAAATTTATATTTTCTTATATTGAATAGAAATGTTATTAAACCAAACAAAAATTATTAGATAAAATTGTTAACAAAATCTGGAAAAAAAAACAACAACTAATATATGAAACTTTTATAAATCTTTTATAAAAAAGTATACTGAATATATTATAAACAGTAGACAACTATGTAGACTTTTAAGAGATTTTTAATAATTTTAGTGCAGGTTCTTTGCCAGATCTTGGAGTGACAGTGGTACATAAATTTAAAATAAAAATGTTGCTCAATATTACACAATGATGTTCTTCCATATCCAATAAATAATAGTCTGATATAATCATAAAAATACTACTTAAAGATTTTCAGCATACATGATCTTTACCTATTTGAAAAACTACAAAACAAAAATATGTCCTTTGGCACAAATTATCAGTTGGAATTTTTAATCCACCGCAATCCAAAAATTTAGAAAACTGACCATATTTCTGATAATAGAATGTTGTTTGATCTAAAAGTTCATAATCAGTTTTTTCTTTATCATTTCATGTAACATAACCAGCAATGTGAATAAGTGACATTTTGACATCATCAGCAATAGAAGATTCTAGATCTTGCAAGTTATCAAGAATTTCGCAGCAGTCTTCAGACAATTTGTAATCACATAACGCACATTGATAACCAGACTTCACATTAAAATTGTCAATATCTACATTTAACTTCAAAAGTAAAGATGCATGTTTGATACGTAATTTTTCAATAACTTGTTGAACACTAAGAAAATATGTACCACCAGAACCTTGACGAAGTATACTATATTCTTTTTCCAGGTGATCTGAAGTAAATTGACCGAGAAGTACATAGTTTTGCGTAGTGTTAAGTAAATATCTACATAAATCTACTAGTCCATAACAAGTTTGATGTATACAAGTTGCAGTATCTTTAGAAAGCTGTTTAATACGCTTACCTTTGGGACCTGCCATTTTAAGTGCCATATCACCAAATTGTAATATTAAATTTAAACGGTTGTCATCAGGATTGTTGATAACAGCCTGCAAAGGATCATTATGCCTTGTATTAGCACCAATGGCTTTTACATTGAAAAATTTTCCACCAAATAATAACTTTATTAATAAATATAGCAGTGTCGTTAACATCAATATGAATCATGTCAGGATGTTGCAAAAGAGCAGCATAAGTTTTTTCTGAAAATACTCTTAAAACTGTTGTTCAACAGGTTTAGGAGAAATAAAAGTTTCATTCAGGTCAGATAACTTTAGAAAGCTTCTGGATTCTGCATTGTAAAGCTGCTTTAAATTAGTCCATTTTGCAATCCTGGTTACTCATTTGTCAAATATTAATTCCTGAGTTTTTTCAGTTAACCATTAACAGTTATCATAAAATAAATACTTTCCATCTACTGTTAACCATGAAAGAGAATCATAAAGTAAATACTTTCTATCTACTGTTAACCATGGTTTTCCCGGAATAAATGTGTACATTTAAAAAAAAGCCTGATTGACATGATTTCCATCACATATAATAGCTTTTACATTTGCACTGACAGAATCAATTATTTGACTAGTTAAATTAATCTGTTCAAACAAAAAATCAGATCGTAATTTTGATATCGGTATCATTTTAATTAACAACTTTGGACCCCTATTTAAACAAACAGCCATAATTCCTAACAATGTTTTGGACAATTCCACTGGGTTATCAACCCAGTGGAATTGTCCAAAACAAAATCTACCAAAATAGTTCCACCACGGTAAAGCAAATTTTTTTAAACATATATTTTATCATGTAGTATGATACATAATTTCTGCTTATCCGGAAGAGAGTTAAAAATTGATTAAATAAATTTGTTTTCATTAATATTATAAATTTTTGAAGTAATTCGAGTCAGTGTTGAAATTGATGGAAGTTGATAATCATTTCTTAAGCGATTATATAATGCCCTTGATGTAAAAAAATATACAAAAGAGCGTATAAGTATTTCAGGTGTATAAAGTTTATCTCCAACTAATTTTTGTCCCATAACTGAAACATGTTGCATAATTACTTCTTTTTTATTATCAATATTCAAAGAGCTTAAAAAACGTATCTCATCAAACATAGACCAGGAGTCAACAGTTAAGATTTGATTTACTGTTAAGTTAGAAATGTGACACTTAATGAAAAACATAATGAAATGTTTCAAAGGTAAGATTTTCATAAATTTTAAGTACAAAAAAAGGTATTCCATTAAAAAATTGCAAAGATTGTATAACAACATAGCCATCAACCATAAACGATATAACTGGATATTGGTGATCACTGCTATCAATAAACTTGTTTTTAATGTCACAAAAAGTAGCTTTATCCCTTTTAAGAAATGTATCTAGCTTATCTAGGTACGCGGACTGATTTTTTTAAATTAATTAAATACTAGAATATTATATCTTTAGAAAGCCCTCAAATACAGTATTTTAATGGTGAAAAAATTATGAAAATCGGACAATTCTATAAAAAGTTACTGCGTTTTTAGTAGCAAATTTTCGATATATGGATTTATTGAAGAAACTATTTCCAAAATTTTTTTTTCCCACTAAAATTGTTATAACTTTGTCAAATCTTATCCAAATGTCTATACCTTGGTATCAAAAGATAGATGTAAGAGTAGGCTACAAGTTCATATAACTCTATAGATGAAAGGGGTGTCTAGAGGACCGGAGGGGGTACCGGAACACCCTCGTACCCTTAAAAAAATGCAAGTTTTTCACACGAAAGAGTGTTTTTCTGATAAAATATGTCATCTTTATTCACAAAAAATTGTTCCAATTTGCTTCCAATCCATTTCCAAATATTAGTGGTCTATTTTAGATTGAAGGGTGGAGGTCTTTGTTACGTTTTAACACCCTCGTAGTGAAATGCTACATTGTTATAAATATTTGAACCTAAAAAACAATGATTATATTTTGTATAAAAAATTTTAAATTAAGTTTTCTTACTTTACAGCATATACAAGTGGTGTATAAGTTGACATAAGGGACGGGACATGTGCCACGCCAAACGCCCCCCTTCCTACCCAGTTGTATCCAACCTAAAAAAAAAATTTTAAAAGATATTTGAAAAATAGTTTTAAATTAAGTTTATTGGAAAAGAGAAACAAGTATTCAAGATTATTTTAATATGTTAGTACAGGTAGGGGTGTGTGCTACACCCAACGACCCCTCCCCTTCTTATTTAAACTTGCAAAAAATGTCAATAAAAGTTTTTTAAATGTTTTTAAATTATGTTTATTTAAAGAGACATAACTTTTCTAATCTTACCACATTACAAAATGCAAGTTGGAGTATCCACCCTAAAAATAGGCCAAAGATAAAACTAATTTTAAAACTTATATAATAATATAATAATATTATTATATAAGTTTTAACTTATATAACAAAATATAATAAATTTAAGTCTTTGCTTTTAGTAAATGATATTGTTTAAAATTCCAAGATTAATAATATTATAAATAATGTAAAAAAATGTACTAAATTATAAACCTAAAAAATATCAAATAATTTAAAAAACTCATACATACCTTGTTTAAACAAGTTACGATTACAAGAAACTGATATTTCAACCTCAATAATGCAAATATAATTTTTAGAAACTGTAAACATAGGGTACAATAACATAAAATCAAATAACTATTAATAAAGTCAAACAAACATTTTTAATAAACTTAAACAAGAATAGTAAATAAGTTTGCAAAATACACTTCACATTTATCAACATTTGAAATATTACACATAAATTTAAAATTACATTTAACGTGGGCTACAGAGTCTTAAAAAAAAAAACCTTATTCTATTGAAAGGTCCACATCTATCTATAGTGTAAGCTTTACAAATTTATATAATACAACTTTTAAAAGTGTAAAAAGTATTTTATTGGGACTATTACAATGTTTTGCTTTTAAATTTTTTTGGGTAAAAATTTAAAAAAATATAAAGCAAATGTTGATAATTGTATAAATTGGGAAAAAACAAACTTGCAGAAATTAAATATATATTTAAAAAAAAAAAGGAATGGTGGTGCCTAATAATTGTAACAATCTCCATGAACCACTAGGCTGCCACCATTCCATCTTCTCCCTCTGCTTCCTCCACTTCCACGACCTCGACCACCTCCCCTTCTGCTGCGGCTCCCAGCACCATTGTTAGGAGGATGATAGGGCCATTTAAAAGAATTATTGTCCCTTCCTCCTAACCGGACCCATTGCTTAAATGAACTATTGCTGGTGGGTCCAGGATGCTGGGACCTATATAATAGGTAGTCTTGATAGGTTAGCTCTAAATGACAATGATTCGCTAATAGATTAGTACTGAATGGCATTATGTAAAATTTAATATAAAACAATTAATTGCAAAAGTGATAGGCTGAATAAATAATATGAACAACGTATTAATCAATGATAACTTAAACAATATTAATGAGAGTAATAATTTCATTCTGCTGCACTTTGAGGGATAACACAACACTAATGCATTAAATAGTGTATATAAATATAAACATAAATTCAATAATCATTAAAAAACATTTTTAAATCATAAATTTACCAGCAGAAGGTTGAACACCTGGAACTAAAGATAAAAAAAGTTTCTATAAAAATTTGCAATTGATAAGAAAGGTGTGTAAATGTTTGCAAATAATAGTTTTTAAACTTACGAGTCATAGAAGCCGCAGAAGATGTAACTAAAGATTATCAAAGTTGTGATTAAAAATAAATACTGTAATTGCCAAGATATGCATAAACATATTAAAAAGTAGAAACTTGTAAACATACCACAAATAGTAGATGTAGAAGGAACTAAGGTTAAAAATGATTTAATAAAAAATTTATATTGCATTCATCAGGAATATATATACACCTATTAAGAAGTAATAATTGTTAAACTTACCATTCGTTGAACACGTAAATGTAGCTAAAATTCAAAATTTGTAATAAAAAATAAATATTGCAAATAATGACTTTGAAACTGGTAATCTTTGAAATTTATTTACAGATCAAAAAGTACTAGCTTTTTAGTATGTTACATAAAAAACAATGAAGGTTTTACATTAATCATTTTTTTTTGGAGTTAAAAATAGTTATTAATACTATTATTAAGAATAAAAAAAATTAAACTTACTTTCTGTTAGGGCATCTAACACATTTTTGCTATAATTTGCCATATTTTTTTAAATCTAATAATATATATCACAATAATTCAAAATAAGATTATTAGTTGAAACGCCCCCTTATCCGGATTTCGGCGCCTACCGGATTTTGCTTACCAAAAAAAAAAACAATAGAAAAACCAAAATTAAGTACCTAAAGTCCAACACTAATTAGACTAATTGCTTACAATTATTTTTCGTTGAAATTTGGCATGTTCATAGAAAATGCATGAAGAAAACTATTTTAATAATAAAAAAAGCAGACTCAGCAAAATACTACATAAAAAGGTATGTTAGCGATACACAATAGTTTATAAAAATCAAGCCTAATCTTTCTTCTTTCAAAAGTCGTCAAGGTTTATATATGTTTCTAAAAAAAACCACCTCAAAAAACCGTTTGCCTAGGGCTACCTAAAAAAAGTGGTATACTTGGTATAATACTAATTAGACTAATAGCTTATAATTATTTTTTGCTGAAATTTAGCATGTGCATAAAAAATGCATGAAACAAGCTATTTTAAAAATAAAAAAAGCAGACTCTACATTTCTTTGACCACAAATTCATGGGAGAACATCAACCTAATATTCAGGAGCAAGATATTCCATAATAAAGTTTAGTAACCATACATGAAAGTATTTCAAAAATCAAGATTAACTTTTCTTCTTTCCAAAAAGTATCTATGTCTATATATGTTTCTAAAAAGAAACTACTTAAAACTACGTCTGCCTCACACTGCATAAAAAAGAGTGAAAAAAACGAGAACCAAAATTTTAGCATAAAAATCGGTTCCGTAAATCGCGATTTCCGCGTACCTAGCTTATCATCTATTGTACTTCTAATGCCACTTAAAGATCTTTTGGTAGATCTTTCAGTTGGATAACCAGTTGGAATTTGAGATAAAGGTATTCCTAGCCAAACAGAAGGTGGATTTTTTGCTCAACGTTTTCCTCCACGCACTATAACTGTATCAAAATTTGGAGGCCAGTGTAACTCACAGATAACAGTATACTTGGTAACGACCAAATTAGAGTTTGGAATAGCTTTTATCCATTTTTCACGCTCAACGTTATCACTTGGAAACCGATACACTGATATTTTATTAACTTCACTAGATATTTTGTTTTTTTCAATTTGATAGTTGGTGTGACAAGCATACACACAACATTTATTTGGCATGATGATTTAATCTAAACATTAAATTATATTTGCTTTAAATTATATCTGAAACTCCATGTTTAAATTATATAAGTTTATTAACATTGTATTATATTCCATTATTTAAATATATATCATAAAGGACATGACATTGTATCTGGTCTGAACGTGAAACAATTTTTTCGCCGTAAAAAAGTAGGCCTTCACAAAAAAATCCGGTTGCGCGATGAATTGGCCTGTAATAGAGAACGCTATGGTTAAAATGCAACAATAGATTTTTTTTTGTAATGCTATGAAATAAATTTAGTTTTGCTCTAGTTTTAGTTTTTGGGGCTGTCCATTAATTACGTCATCAACTTTTTGGCAATTTTTACATCCCCCTCCCCCTTGTCAACAATTTGTCAAACTTTCAGTGACCCCCTTTAAAATTACGTCAACATTTAATAACCCCCCCCCCCCCAAAAAAAAAAAAAAAAAAAAAAAAAAGTAATAATAAAAAATGTTTTAAATTGACGAGTTTAAACAACTGAAACAAAAAAGTGCTTCAATGTATTCAAATTTTAACATATGAACATATTTCAACATATGAACAACAATAATAATAAATTTTAACATATGAACATATTTGGCAACCTTTTGAGACGGAAGAGCCGAAAGTCATAATATACAAAGTTTTTGGGCTTAAAAACATTATGTTTCAAGTCATTAAATTTTATGAGTTTTTTTTATTTAGCAGATTATAAATCAACCAACAAGTTCAGAGCTTTTGGACAACAGAGACCGGTAAAAAATAGAGATATAAAACCGAAGTCTTTTTTGGGACTTCGCATCCCTGATTATACTAATATTTGTGCATGTCAAGATAATAATATTTCGATGTCAAGATGCAGCTAAAGAGCTCCATCTTGACATTGAAAGAATCACAAGAAGCTTGCGAGGTGCAGGTTGTACCCCTTGTATAAAAGTTTAAACAATATATTGTAGATATGAATCTTTTTTGTTTACACAGCAGACTGAGACAACAATAACTTTGAAAAAATAATGGCGTTACAAGTAAACATCTTGTGTGTGGTTATGTATTTCTGTATGTTGGGTCTTTTTTAAAGCACTAAAACGGTTTTTAAAAAGTAGGAATATAAATTATAGGATAGGAATTAAAATACTGAAGGTTCAGTGACTATGTAACACAGGACTGCAAACGCTGCATATTTTTCTTTTTTTAAGTAGTTTAATTTATAAAAAAAAAGTAACATGTTTAAAAAATAATAAAGTGTTGACGCCAACTTTTTTTGACCTCCCCCTCCCCCTTGTCAACAATTGTCAGATTCCCCCTCCCCCCTATTTTGTTGAGGTAATTAATGGATAGCCCCTTTGTTTTAGTTTAAAAAAAGTAAATTTTTAGCTGTTGAACAATTTTTTGTATTTTGTTATTTCTTTTACAAATTTTCAATAATATTTTGAAATTTGACATTTCTTAGGGGGGTAATTACCCCCTTACCCCTCTCCCCCTCCTTTGTATCCGCCACTGGTTGTATAGTTTTGAATAATTTTTAAAAGTATGAAATATTAGAGATTCTAAATTCTTTTCGGCTCCTAAAATTTTTACGTTTTTTTTTATTAGATAAAATAATTAGAAAATGTCTAAAAATAAATGTATTTTTCAAGTAAAATGGTTTGTTAAAGAACAATATAAATAGAGGTTACATAAAAAAACAGAAACTGTTGTGATTTGAATTTATTGGGTTAAAGACATCAATATTGCTAACATGGGAGAAGCTGCTTTAACTTCACACATGAAAGGCAAAAAGCACATAGAGAGATCACCTTCTGCTATCAATATCTAGTTATTTATGAGTATATGTCAGAATGGTCAAATGAAGCAAAACACCAAAAAACAATGATAAAATGCTAACAAATAATTTACACATGAAGCTAAAGTTTGTTTGGGCCTTAATATTGTGTATTCTAAACATTCAATGAATTCTTTAACTGATTCTGGTAAATTATTTAGTAAAATGTTTTCAGAGAGTGACATTTCTAAGTTGTTTCAATGTGGACCCATCAAGGCCAGTTATATTGTAACATTCGGATTGGCTCCATTTTTTTAAAAATGAGTTGCTAACTTTCCTATCTAATACACCTTATTACGCTGTTTCATTTGATGAATTCATGAACTAAGTTTTTCAGAAAGTTCAAATGGACCTATCCCAGGAAAAAAGGTTCTATAGAATTTTCTATAAACTTTTGAAACATATGGCCTAAAGAAACTCTATAGAATTTCTATAGAATGTCTATTAATTTCTATAGAAATTGCTATAAAACTTTTTTTTCTCTAAAAAAAAAAGTAGAAAAAAAAATTTCAATAAGAATTTTTATAGAAGTTAAGAGAAACTCTTTAAAAATTCTATAGAATTTCTATAGGCCATATGTTTCAAAAGTTTATATAAAGTTCTATAGAACTTTTTTCCTGAAATTAGTTAAATTTTGGGATGACATTACAAGTGTGGTTAAAACTCGTTATATTAAATCAGAGTTCATGGGGTGCTTGACAGCACGTGATGTTATGCAAACATTCCTAAACTGTATTTCTGATATAGATAAATCAAAGATTCTATCAGTGTCATCAGATGGGCTAAATTTACATTTGGCCCATCTGATGACATTTACTTTTTTCTAGGTAATTTAAAGAAACAGGAAAAAGGAAGAACTTAATCTTCTTATAGATATTAAACCTTTGGTCTCCATATCATTCATGGCAGTTTTAAAGCAGGGGCAAAAGCAAGAGCTAAATAATCTATTAAAAGCATTGTGGCAATTTCTACATGACTCTCATAGTAGATTTTACCTATAAAATGTCGCTACGACGCTTGATTATCCATATCAGTTTTGTTGGCATAGGTGGTGTGAAAATGAAAAATGTACTCAAAAGGCTCAATCACAACTTGATGGATACAAGAAGTTTACAATTTATTTCAATAGTCTTTAAAAAAGCAAACAACCTGATTTAAAATGTAAAAACTGACAGAGACTGAAAGCCATGGTTCACAATCTGTTTTGCCAGCTAAACTTAAAGTTTTTGAGATGGTTTCTGAAAAGTTAAATAGTTTTTTGAGATGCTTTCAAACAGACAAACCTATGGTTCAATTTATGGCTATTATACTTGGTGAAATAGTTGACAACTTACTCAGGAGAATCATACTAAAAGACGTTTTAAATAAGTGCGACAATATATACCAGCAGCTTTTTATTCGGATTTGAAACAAAAATTTCAAATCCGAATAAAAAGAATTTCAATAATTTTTCAATTCTGTTGCAAAAGTTAGTTAAATACGTCCGTTTGTCACCAAAATCTGTCGAACTAGCGAAAAATCAATATTATAAGTTTTTAGAAATAGTAAACTCAAATAGAAAATCATTTCAAGACTTCGATATTAAAAACTTCAATAGTTTTGATCATTTTTTCATTTGGAGCGTTTTTAAATTAGTTTTTGTGCTTTAACATGATCAATCTGTAATTGAGCATGGCATTAGTATTAATAAACAACTTCTTGGCGAAAATCTGAAAGAAAAATCCCTTATTTGCCTTACGTCTTATTGAAGATCATTTGTCTTCTTTTGAAGAATCCCCTAATAATACCAAAATTAATAAAAAAAAATTTGCAAAATAATAAGCAAGCAAGTAGTCGATATAAAAAGTATTTGCAATCACAAAAAGAATATAAAGAATGTAGGAAATTAAAACGAAAAATTTTAGACAATGAGAAAAAGGTAGTTAGAGCAAAGTGCAGAATCTTAATAACTACTTTGATAGAACAGTCTGATACACTACAAATGTATAAAAGCAGTTTTGTTCTATTGAAAGAATTAAATGAAAAAAAGAAACTTTTTTCCTTAGAAAAACTAAAGGAAATTGAGGATTTGTACAATATAGAAAAAAAGATAATTCACGAAAATGATAAATTCACAGGTTTATTTTAAAAGCATATTTTTGGACACAGTTACTGAGTAAATTTTTTTTATTTTTGTTTTGTTGTTTTGCTAAAACGGTATTTATATTATGAGTTTGTGAAATAATTCTGATGTTTTTGAAATTGGCTGTGCTAAAAGTTTCCTTTCAAATAAAAAATAGTTCCTTGTCAAATATTTTTTGAATTTACATTTAGTTATGTACCTGTAGTGATATAGCTATATTTATGTAGCTGTAATCTATTTCTTTAATTTACATTTGATTTCTATATTAATTCACATTTAATATTTTGTGTTATTTTGGGCTAACTATAAAAGAAGTCCTCGAAAGTCATGGAGTTAATAACTTTTTTTTTGTAAGTCCCGGAAAATTCCTGGAAATATTGAAGCAAATGTCCTGGAAATAGAAAAAAATTACCCTGGAAAGTCCTGAAATTTTAAATTTTTTTATCTGGTGAGTGAAACCCTGGACTATTAGTAGTCTCTTAATAAAATTCTCCTTGAATATTTTTGCTGCTTTTGTGCCTGCAATCATTTTAGTAATATTTTTTATTTAAGTAAAATAAAAACTTGCACAGCATAATAAAATAATCTATAACATATACTTACAAATAAATACAGATTTATAAATACCTATCAATAATATTAATTCTGGCTTACCGTTCAGTTTACTGTGCCATGCACAGAGCGACCAAACAATGAATAAAACTATAAGTAGTTGTACCTCAAAACCTTGCTTATGTTTATATTTATATATATATATATATATATATATATATATATATATATATATATTATATATATATATATATATATATATATATATATATATATATATATACATATATATATATATATATATATATATATATATATATATATATATATATATATATATATATATATATATATATATATATATATATATATATATATATATATATATATATATATATATATATATATATAGTGGGCATGGGACGTAAAAAATAACGTCTTTTTTAGGTCCTGTGTCCACTGGGTAATGATTTGTTTGATGTGGTGAATTTTACTTAAAAAGGTAATTACATCAACAGTTTTATTCAAAAGTGAAACATTATGTGTTAGAATATATGGTATAATTGATATATATATATATATATAAATATATATATATATATATATATATCAATTTTTTAAGTATAGATACAAGGGTATTGTGTACATATATATAAAAGTCGTATTATAATTAAAAGTAATTAGAAATTCCTAACATATAATAAATCGTGAACAAAATATAGGATAGCATAATATGCAACATAAAAGACTGTTTTTATAATATTTTATCGTTTATGTATATAGTAAATCGTTTAAAATGTATGTTATATACCCTTTAAACGATTTTTTTTTGTATATTTCGAAATCCGTAGCTTTTAATATATTAAAAACTACGGATTTCGGAATATACAAAAAAATAAAATTTCAATTAAGCATAAAAAAATAAAATTTCAATTAAGTATTGGCATTTTTTAAAGAACGCAGGAAACTTGCAGAAAACTGAAGGTCTTATAACCAAGAAACCGCTTTTTTGTAACTCATGATATTTTTTGTAAAGTTTCTTTACAATCACTTCATATTTATAAGCCACGTCAATTTCAGAGTGGGGTGGAGCGATTCTTAAAATTTTCGAAATTTGATTTGCCTGAGCTGCGAATCGATGTCTTATGGTAAAAAAAAAAACTTACTTTTTTTTTTTTTTAATTTAGATGAGTTCTTGAGGTTCCTCTTTGGATTCTAAATTTATGACGGGTCCTAATATTGTTGAAATTTTTTTTCTTTTAAACTATATGAACCTGGTACTCAAAAGAAGCAAAATAGTATGCTAATTTTGAAAATAATATTTGTTTTAATTCTAAACTAAAAAGTAAAAAAAAAATAGTGTTGTTTTTTAAAAAACAACTATTTTTTTTTACGTCTTCATAAAAATGGGGGTTTAAGTATATTTTTGCAAATATTTTTTTCACTAAAAATTTTTTTTTTTAATAAAATTATTATTTATAAAACAAGAATTTATTTTTTATTTATAAAAAATAAATTCTTGTTTTATAAATAAAATTATTAAAAAAGAGTCCAAGGTTGATATGGTTTAGAAAAAAAAAAAAAATTCAAAAATATTAGGACCCGTCAAGAATTTAGAATCCAAAGAGAAACCTCAAGATCTCATCAAAATCAAAAAATATTTTTTTACTTTCATCTTATAATTAATAGACATCGATTCGTGTCTCAGGAATATTGATTTTTAAACTTTTTTTTTTTTCTGCTGTGAAAATCGCTTCACCCTAGTCCAGAGTCTGTTCTCTGTCAAGATAACATTAAAATAAAAGAAAACGATAAAATAAACAATGTTAAATCAACATCGTAATCGAATACGCAAATAATAACACATAGTTTTCAATAGTCGTTTACGTACGCATAAATAAATTAATATTTATTACTAGTAATTTCCTCCTATTTTTGCAGATATCATTTATTATAGTTTAAAGTAATTTTTAAGAGCTAGTTTGTTTTATTTTTTGAATTTATAAAAGTTTATCAATTTTATTGTGTTAAAGATGAAATTTTTTAATAATAATTTTAGAAAGTTCAAGTTACTTTCATTTGTCAAATTTGAATTTATTGTATTGATAAGGACCACGATATTTAATAGATAATCGCGAGAAATTCGTTTTTTTTAAAAGATACATTAAAGTTCTGTTCGCATGTATAGCATCTATTTTTGCTATTTTTGAAATTTTTTTTTTAAGAAATGAGAAGAAACAAGTCCAAGTTTATATTTTAGCATAAATATCAAGTTTTGAAATATGTTGATTTGGTAAACATTTAATGCTTTTAAGTTTTTCAAAAGAGGCTCATCATGTGAGAATTTATCTTTATTATAAACTATTCTTGCAGCATGTTTTTAATTTTGATAGAGCATGATCAATTTGGATTTATGGGTACTTGCCCAAGCAATTTTGGCGTATATGTAATAGCATTGTATAAGCGAGAAGAAGAAGCGAGAAGAAGTACAGAAGCTTTAGATTTTTTTGAGACAGTGTAGAGCTAGCTTTGTAGAGTATCCCAATGCTTTTAAGGATTTTGGTGTTTAACATGTCGTCGCATGAGAATTATAGGGTTCTGCCTTGTTTTATGTTGAAAGAATTTAACAATCAAAGTTTTAATTAATAATTAATAATAAAAACAAACCACTTAAAAAATGATATATTATATATCATTTTTTAACATTTTAAACAGATAACATAAACAACTTATAATTTATAATTATAATGAATAACAGCTGTAAAACATGTATTAAATAGATATTGAAAGTTAAGTTCTAGTAACATAAAAAAAGGCAGATAGAACCCTATAATTCTAATGTGACGATGTGTATGTGCGTTTTCCTTAAGATGTTATCATCGAAAAGTATTCCTAAACATTTTAATTATCGGTTTCTCTCGATTTTAATTATCGGGTTCTCTCGATTTCAACGTTAATAATAATTTTTAGCGAAGGTAATTTTTTTGGCTGGAATGAAAAATGATGTATTTAGTTTTTTCAATTTGTTTAGTGATAACCACTTATTGGACTAATCGCTTAGTTTTTCAAGTTAATATTTGCGATTTCAAAGAGTTCTGTTGTAGATGTAGATAAGTTAATATCATCGCCAAACTTAATGAGATCTAGTATACTTTAGGCATTTGGGAGATTATTTTGTATATAGGAACAAGAGGGTGCAAGAATGAAACATTGGGGACACTGCATTTTATTTTGATTAATTCTGATTTTTTTTTCCAAAAGTAATTATAGGGGAGACCGGGGCTAGTTGGCAGCAGGGGTAAGTTGACGAATTGCGTTTATCTGCAAAGTCTTTCATCAAAAAGTGCCAATAATTTCAGGAAACCTTCTTAGTTGACCATTTCATCTTTCACTGTAGTATTGTGGGGATTTGCGCATGCGCATAAAAGATATTGTGATTTATGTGTTTTTTCCACATTTTTGTAACTTTTACAACTTCTTTATTTTTTCGATTTTTAAAAGCAATTTCATCAAGTACAAGTAAACTTGATTGGAGTTATATCTTGCATGGTTCAGTAAAATCTGTCCAACCATTATTTTTTATTTATATACGTTTTTCAGGGATCGGTAGGGGAGTTTGTGACCAAATAGCTGTCGGGGTTAGTTGGCAAAATTTTGGCGGGGCAAGTTGGCCGTATATATCAACTAAACCCGGTTGCGATTGGACATAAATTTTAACTTTTTCTATAAATTTTGATTTATTTTTTTAAAAATCGATTAGATAGATCACATATATTACATGCGAAACTATAAAAGAAAAACAAAGAGGGCTATAACTCCTCAAAATGTTATAAAAAATGCTGTTGATGCTGTTTTATTAGAAGAAAAATCTATACGAAAAACAGCTAAAGACTTATACAATATCCCTGAAAAAAGTTTGTCCCGATACTGCAAAAAGCAACAACGTCATAGTCAGCAAATATCAGGTTACATAAAATCTAGACAGGTCAGTATATATATATATATATATATATATATATATATATATATATATATATATATATATATATATATATATATATATATATATATATATATATATATATATATATATATATATATATATATATATATATATATATATATATATATATATATATATATATATATATATATATATATATATATATATATATATATATATATATATATATATATATATATATATATATATGTATACATATATATATAAACTTAATATGTTTTGTATAGTAATTATTATCTCATATATAAGATTTATATATATATATATATATATATATATATATATATATATATATATATATTTATATATATATATATATATATATTTATATATATTTATATATATATATATATTTATATATATATATATATATATATTTATATATATATATATTTATATATTTATATATATATATATTTATATATATATTTATATATATATATATATATATATATATATATATATATATATATATATATATATATATATGTATATATATATATATATATATATATATATATATATATATATATATATATATATATATATATATATATATATTTACAAATAGAGTTCTCAATGATCTTAAAAAACATATAAGTTATATTTTATAACTGTGTATTAGTATGTGTTATAACACATACTAATACAATGTGTGTGTGTGTGTATAACACATACTAATATATATTAGTATGTGTTATGCACACACACACACATATATATATGTGTGTTATATAACACACACACACACACACACACACACACACACACACACACACACACACACACACACACACACACACACACACACACACATATATATATATATAGTGTTATTTGTTTTAATATTGATATTGTTCATTTAGGTCTTTACTGATTTACAAGAAGGTCTGTTGGAACAATATGTGACTAAAGCTTCTGATATTTATTATGGACTTTCTCCTAAGGAAGTGAGGAAACTAGCTTATCAGTATGGAAAAGCGAATAGCATAAAAATGCCTCATAATTGGAGTGCAAATGAAGCAGCTGGAGAAGACTGGTTCAGTGCTTACCTCAAAAGGCACAAAAAACTGTCAATAAGAAAACCTGAGGCAACAAGTCAAGCACGTGTTTCCAGTTTTAATCCAACAAATGTTCAAAAGTTTTACAACAATTTACAAACTATTCTTAATCGTTTAAAGTTGGAAAATGGAGATATTTGGAATATGGATGAAACTGGTATTACCACAGTTCAAACTCCAGATCATATTGTAGCAAGAAAGGGTTTTAAACAAATTGGGCGTGTTACTTCGGCTGAGAGAGGCAATTTAGTAATTGTGGCAGTTGCTGTTTCTGCCAGTGGAAATTCAATTCCTCCATTTTTCATATTTCCTCGTGTGAAATTTAAAAGCTATTTTTTAAATGGTGCTTCTGATGGAAGTGCAGGCGCTGCAAACCCATCTGGTTGCTATTAGACAATCATGACTCTCATCTTTCAGTAGAGGCTTTAGATTACTTTAAAGAAAATGGGGTATCGGTTTGTTCATTTCCTCCTCATTGCAGCCATAAACTTCAACCTCTAGATCGAAGTGTATTTGGACCTTTTAAAAAATACACAAACACAGCTTGCAATGCGTGGATGACAATGCACCCTGGTTCCACAATGTCTATTTACAGTTTACCAGGTATTGTGGGTAACTCATTTCCATTAGCATGTACCCCTAATAATATCAAGGCTGGTTTTGCAAAAACAGGAATTTACCCACTAAATGTTAACATTTTTGGTGAACACAATTTTATGCCAGCCTATACCACAGATAGACCACCTCCGAAACAAGACTGTGCTGTGGAAAGTACAGTGCTAAATATAAGTAATGTAATGGATGTTGACTTTACAATATCTGAGAATGACATGTTAAATGCTGGTTGCTCAAAAGATATAAAACCACGTCAAGATATTTCATATTCAAGCAGTAATGATGAACACAGTGCATCTACAGAGTCAACTGTAGTTCTATCGCCTGAAGATTTAAGACCATTCAAAAAAGCTGAACCAAGAAAAAGAGTTAGGGCTAATAAAAGAAGTAGAACCACATCAATTTTAACAGATTCACCAAATATGAATGTTTTAAAAATAGAGAAAGAATCAGCTAAAAAGAAAAAGTTAGCAATTGAAGAGAGAAAACAAGCAAAAAAGTTAAACGAAGATAATATTAAGATGAGTAAAAGATCAAATAGTAAAGGAAGTTTACACTTAATGGAGAAAAGTTTGAATTGTCCAAATAGCTCTGTTGTAGAGGAGTGTTTTTGTTTGGTTTGTGTTGGAATGTTTTCTAAAAGTAAAGCAGGGGAAGTTTGGGTTCAATGCACCCAATGTCACCTTTGGGCTCACGAGTCATGTATAATCGGAAAATCTTTGTTTTTCATTTGCAATAATTGCTGCTAGCCGATTTGAAACTCCATTAGTTAAAAATATTCATGTAATAAAACAATATAAGTTTTAATTCTTATTGTATAACCATAAATTGGGAACACTGTTTTGTTTTGTCACTGTATTTTTTAATTATATTTACTTTCTATTGCTTAAAATGTTACAATGACTTGATCCAAAAGTTTGATGATATTGATAAAAGTATATTTCTGCTATGATTCCTTTAAAAAAAAGGGGCTCGGGGTAAAAATATTATTGAAATACACTTAAATAGGACCTTTAACTTTAGCTTTTATTATTGCGAGTCAACTTACCCCTTGAGTATAAGCAACTTACCCCATGGTGGGGTAAGTTGGCGCAATTTTTTTTTTTTTTTTGAGGGCCCAGAAAGGCCCCACAATATTTTTTTTGTAAATGAATACAACTTTTATAAGTTACCCAAATTCATACTCTTTGAAACTACACTTTTATGTTTTCAAAAAAATGTTTCGTTAGGACTACAGAACTCATAGAGTAAAAACCGAGTCAACTAGCCCCGGTCTCCCCTACATTGTTGTCTGTTCAACAGAAAACTTTTAAAATAATTTAAGGCGACACTTTTTATTCAATATTTTTCCTTTTTTTTCTTCCATATATTGTGTCCAATGCTTTAAATAAATCAATAAAAACTTCAAGTACATATTTTTTACTTTTCAAAAGAATTACCTATGTTATTTATAAGATCTAGAATTGCACATTTGGTCAAGCGTTTCTTTTAAAAACCGAACTATTTTTCATTTAAGATATTGGTTATGTTTAGGTATGTATATAATTTATTGTAATTTAGTCGTTTCAAAAGTTTTAAAAATACCAGAAGAACTGAGATGGGTCTGTAGTTTTTTAGTGTAAATGATTTTTAGTATTGGTACAACTTTTGTTATTTTTAGCTTATCCGGCACAGATCTAGTAACAATTTAAAATTTAAATATTTCAAAAATAGGTTTTTTAATCACCAAAAAAACTTTCACAACTACACTGGTACGGTGAACGTGTTTTGTGAACGTTTAGTTTTAATGAGTTTTTTGCAATTTCTAGCGCTTCATAGTTTAGTTCGTTGAAGTTTAAACTAATATGTTGTATTGTAATATTTGTCTCGAAGGAGTTATCTGGACATTAAATTTAAGAAGCCATGTTAGGGCCAATGTTTGCGAAAAAACTGTTGAAGTTCTCTGCAATGGAGCTTGTGTTGATATATTCTTTGCATTCGTGGTGACCGAAAGATACTATGACTCAGAATGAGGTTTTGGTTTTTCAAAAAACGAAGAGCAAATTTATTACTGATTTGGGGAGAAATGTTGGAGAGTGCTGCTACATTGGCTAATTTAGGGATAACATACAAGGAAATGCTGCTACATCGACTAAGGGTTTGGGTTAAGGCAGGTATAGATCAATCGATGTAGCAGCACTCTTCTACATTTCTCCAAAAATCAGTAATATATCTGGTCTTTGTTTTTTTTAAAAATCAAAACCTCATTTTGAGTCATAGTATCTTTCGCTTACCTGCATTCGTTAACGCAACTACCAGTACCGCAAAAGAAGTCTAAGAAAATTTTTTTTTTGTGGCAGCAATCTTAATTGTAAAATATTTGTTTAAATTTTTAATTAAAACATTTTCTAATAGATGAATTAAAATTATCTTTTCTAAAGTTTATCCGATAGGGTAAAAACCCTATTCGATGGGTACCCAGTGGGAAAAAAGACATCTTTAGACGAATAAAAGGCGTCTTTGGTTATGACTTGTTATGTCTTTTTAAAATCAGCCAAAAGAAAGTTGTTATGTCTTTTTAAAATCAGCCAAAAGAATTTTGAAGACTCTTTTAAAAAGACGTCTTCAAAATAAGCCTATTTTCAATCAACATTTGGAAAGTTTAATTTGTTTTTGATGGGAAATTTTTTCATGGAGTTTATTTTAATAGATATAAGACTTTGTTTTCTATAATAATATGTAATAATAAAAAAAAAAAAGAAGTCTTATATATTATTTATTTATTAAAATTAATTTTAAAACATTCAATTTTTGACCGAATTTTTACTTTTTCAACTAAAGTCAGTCACCGTTATAATCAATGAGAAAACAATAAAAATGGAGGAGAAAACCAATTCATATTTCAAAACTAATTAGAAGAAGAATATATCTATTACTCAATATTGGAACCGCCGAGAAATCCTTTCATACGAGCTGGTTACAACATCTAAAAAACAAGTGAACATAAAAAACAATCTATTGCTTGAATGTAATACAAAAAAGCAAATGAAACTTGATTAGCTGAGTGAAACACATTAGACTTACCGACTATTAATTCAAAAAGAGCTGATCCTTTTAACCTCCTCATGTTTCCAGCGCAGTCCTTACTTTTTGAACCCACTAGGTTAGATAGGGACAGGAGTCAAAAGGTAAACAGTCTAAAAATATATAAAAATGAGTGTGCTAAAGAAATTTACGACCATCAAAATGACTGTACAACGATGTATTTTATTATGTAGTACTTATTAACGATGTATTATATTATGTAAACCAAGCTAAACATTTGCACCTCTCAGATTTGCTATGAAAGCCAAGTTATTGAAAACAGATATTGATATTTTTCTGTCTTCCATGACGTGACTTTTTAATTGAATTTCGCTGAAATGAAGCGTTGTAGACTCTTAACAATTTAAAAATCCGTTATTGACTAAAGACTATCAAAACGAAAAGATAATTCAGCTAATACACCTTGAGAGTTGTTATTCATTTAAACTGGATAAAAGTATTAATCAAAGCTCTATTTTAGCCTGAAACATAATGATGTTTAACTTAACAACATAAAATTATAAAAACTAGCGGTATCATTAGCAACACAGATGAAATACACATAAACAAAAATGAAGACTAGAAAGCTGCAATGATGTTTAGATATAAGAAAGTGTACCTTTCCAGTATCCTTTTCGCTAGGTCTTTTGTATCCAAACCAAAAGTTTTGCAAACAGTTCTAAAGATAAATCTGTTGTCATTATGTGCATTTTTTACTTTCTTTACTAAATTGAGACTATAGTCTCAATTAAGTTAGTCACAGTACAGTAAGATGGTATCAATATGATCTATACATCATATTGATACCATCTTACTGGCACCACGCCATTCACTTTTTGCTTCTTCCCATTTACATTTTCTGGCTAAACAGCTGCAATTATTTATATATTATAGTATATATTATAGTATAAATATAAATATATATATATAATATATATATATATATATATATATATATATATATATATATATATATATATATATATATATATATATATATATATATATATATATATATATATATATATATATATATATATATATATATATATCAGGCGCGGATCCAGGAATTTGTAGCTGTGTGGCCAAGTCCGGGTTCGCGAACAGCTAATTTTTTTTTTATTAAGTGATTAGGGAGGGGAGGGGGGGGGGGGAAGTGCCATAAACGATAAACGACAAAAAAAAAAGGTTAAAATTTAAATTTTTTACATTTGCCGACTTTAAAAATCTATATTTAAAATTGCCAAATACAATTCGATATTGGCCAGTGGAGGAAGAGGGGTTGACATCACCCTATTTCCTCTTCCCATTTTAAGCTAAATTTCGTTACTTTTGTTTTTTTCTGATGAAGTAATCCAACGGACTCATTATGTGTCATTTTTTTAAACTTTAATACGTAGGGAGACTAACCTACTTTACTTAACTACTCTAGATTTAATAATCTGAGAGCGCCATTATTACAATAAGTATAATAGTTTTCACGCTTGAGGCTAAAAACTATGTTGTTCTGTTGTAGACGAAATGAGCGACGAATTCGTCACCGACGAATTTTTATATAAGGAATCAATTAATAAAATTAATAAGAGATCATTCATATTATATGCATAGAATTACAAAAATTATATCATATTTTAATCTTATTCAGTAGAAATAGCTTTCTGTTTGAATAAAAAAACACTTAATTTTGATATTTCTTGTTAGAAATAAACTCTCTAAACAATTGTGTAATTCAAAAACGCATACATTTTTAAAATTATTAATTATTACATAAAATATTAAAAAGCACTATAGGTAAAAAAATGTTATATATGAGGAGTCGACTTGTAAACCAGATATTTCACTTTTTACTTGTAATTGAAATCTATTTACTTTGTGTTTGTTTGACAATATTCTGCTAATTCTGCAAACTTATTCTAAACAATCGAGTCAATCGTGGTAAAGTTTATTTTGTATTGTTTCTAGTTATCTATTTAATAATAAAGTTATTCAAAATATTGCCTTGGCTATTTAGTTCATAAATTAGACATAGTACTTGTCTAAATCACTTAACAAAGTGCACCAACGAGAAGGTAAGCCATAGGACTTTGCACTCCATCAGTAAACTGTCGTGTTGCCTAAGGTTAGCCCACTATTTCTGGATTTTTTTTTTTTTTTTGATAGGCAGTTATGTACAAATATTTTTAAAACATTAAAAAAAATTTTTTTACTTTTTTTTTTAAATAAATTTTAATAAATAAATAAACAAGACAAAATATAATACAACAAATAAAGCAACAATCAAAAAAGTAACAACCTAAATCACATGAAAACACTTTCAACATTAGGAATTAAAAGAAATAGCAAATGAAGTATGAGTTTCACAGTTTATATAAAACAATGAATAGTAATAATTTGCTAATAAAAAATGATTTTCACAGTTTACATGTTTAAAACAATGAGTAGAAATATTTTGCTATTAAGAAATTATTTACATTTTTAAAACAGTACTTAAATTTTTTACTCAGAAATTCAAAATTTCTATTTGAATAAAAACTTTAACTTTTTGTCTCCTTTGGATGCAAATATTTCAATAATATTAAATAGACATTAAAGTAAGTCCATTCAATCTATTTTCTGACATAGTACTCTCGTGTAAGTTTTTATTCTCCTAAGAGTAGATATTGACCTTTCACACTAACAAGTTGTGATTGGTATTGTAGCAAGTATATGAAATGCCTCTAAAATGTTTGGAAAGCCTCTCATATCCCTAAACTTAAGTGTATCTGAAATAGTAGATGGTAATTCTGTCTTTTCAT